TGTGACTAACATTTTAAAATACTACATATGTTACATAATATACAGTATTAATCCTAGATCTGATCTTGGTCTTGATATAGTATGGTGATACGTCCGATGGACATTATCACACCGCGCATCCATCATGTAGAAAAAAAAACCTTTCTAACCATATCTGCCAGATAATCTGACTTGGCCTATTGGAGATTCTGTCTTGTTGAAAATGAACAATGGTAATGAGTTCCAGTCCTTGATAGTACAAATGTATTCTGGTAAAAGCTAAATTCAAGTGAGTCTGTTCTGGTTTGAGCCCTGAGGAAATGATTTTATGCGTAGATTTGGAGATTCTTAAGAGTATTTTCAATTGCTCTGTTGGTATATATGGGCTTATTTGTTTAGTCCTTTGTGCTGTATCAGCATACTCTGTGTACTTCTATCTTTTAATGATGGTAGACTGAGCTGTTTCAGGATCGCTGCCATTGGTCCATGTTCGTAATATATCTGTAATTTGATGATATAAACCGGGCCCCCCTCTTTTGGACGTTTAAATAACCCCAGAGACACATGTATACTGTATATGGTTTGATATGTCTCTGATAACTCAGTAGTCTAGGACATATTATATTGACGCTAGTATAATAATCCATCTATTCCTAGCACATAGTATATCATAGACGTCTCAAGTCACATGTCATTTATTTGCATTATTTAAAGGCATACTTATTATTTATAGCCCTGTTTCAAGTTGCACTCGATGATACTTTGTTACTATGTTACTTATTTACTTTGTTACTTTGATGATCTATCCCTTCAGCCATAAGGTATAGGGACTTCAATTTCTGTTTAAACATGTCCAAAGTAGGCGCAGCGACAGCAGAGGCGGGAAGCGAGTTTCAAGAGTTCACTACTCGATTTGAGAAAAAAGTTTTTTCTATCATCAGTTCTAGCAAAATGCTTTACTAGCTTACAATTGTGAACTCTAGTATGCGATTCACTCATTTCGAACATATTGTCTGTGTTTGAAGTATATTTGTTGTGTGTATATTTATATATGTTTCACACATATCCTGTCTCCATCTTCTAGATTTAAGTTATTCTAAATCGAATGAATTGCTTGCCATACAGGTATACTTACGCTGGTCTTTTTCTAAAGCTTCAATATTTTTAATTAAAATCGGATCCATATTCGAGAATTGAACGCCCAATAGATTTATACAAAATAGACACTTTTTCAGACGTTAAATTAGTAAAACATCTTATAAGACCCAAACGCTGGTTTGCCTTTTTCACCACATGGAAAATATGACTATTTGAGTGTGAGTCATTTGAAAAAATAACTCTTAAGTCCCGTTGACAATCGTCTCCAGATAACGGAGTGCCATTTAAACTGTATATAAAGTCAAAACATTTACGAATTCTTAGTACCACACATTTTGTTTCATTAAAACGTAATAACCAGGTTTTAGACCATGCAGATAAAGTGTTCAGATATTCCTGAAGCTTTTGACAAATACTCGGGTTTACAATTTCATGATAAAGTTTGGTGTCAACGGCAAACAGTTTAGCAGTAGAGCTTACGCCATTTGGCATGTTATTGACATATAACAAGAATAGAATAGGTCTTAAAATAGAGCCCTGCGGAACTCCACTGGTTATATTACTTCAGTTTGATGAACCACCAGGTAGCTAGAACGACTTTCTGACGACGGTTTTTTTTAAATGAGCCTCCTCGTGGAGTTTTTGATTATGTAATTACTTGGCCGTTTTTATAGTGATTATTTGATTACCAGACCAAATATTTCATGATCATTTGATTATTTGATAATCTAGGAATGTATTTTTGATTATTTGATTATCTTGTTTAAAAAAATAATTAATGATTATGTGATTATATTGGCAAAATATCTGTGATTATGTGATTACTTGGACACCCCCATGAGGGGCCTCAAAAATGATACAATCCATCTTAGAATGTGGCCACGTATACCGACATTGCCTAATTTTATCTTCAATCTATGATGAGGAACTGTATCGAACGCTTTTGCGAAGTCAAGATAAATACAATCAGTACCCAATCTATTATCAAATGATTCAGTCCAATCAGTACCCAGTCTATTATCAAATGATTCAGTCCAATCAGTACCCAGTCTATTATCAAATGATTCAGTCCAATCAGTACCCAGTCTATTATCAAATGATTCAGTCCAATCAGTACCCAGTCTATTATCAAATGATTCAGTCCAATCATTTAAACACTCTATTAGTTGTGTAATACAAGAACTTAAACTTTGGAAACCATGCTGGTGACTTTCTAATAATGTGACAGTATAGCATCTTGAACTATTTTTTCATCAGTTTGACTATCCGGCTAGTTATAATTTGCAAATGACGCGCTAGAGCCCTTTTAAAATAAGGGAGCAACATTAGCATCACGCCAGTCTTGAGGAACAAGACCAGTTCTCATAGATAAATTAAAGATATAGGATAATGGTTTGTCGAAGTCTCAACATTTTAGTAAAACATTGACGTGCATACCATCTGGTTTACCTGATTTAAACAGAGGCGGATTTAAGGGGGACAGGGTGCCCTGCCCCCCCCCCTTTTTGTGGGAAAAATTTGGGTGATTATTTAGGGAATCACTGAAGCATGACTAAGCGGGCCCCCTCTTATGGCAGTCATTGCCCCCCCCCCCCCCCCCCCTTTATGAAAATTTCTGGATCCGCCACTGTTTAAAGGAGTTAATTTCATCACCTTTGCATTGTCAAATTTTACAACTGGTAAATCAAGTGAATGCTCCAACGGTTCTTCCTTCGTAAGGACAGATACAAAAAAAAATGTTCGGAACTTCAGCTTTGTTGTCATTGGTATAATTTTTAACACCCTCATGTTCTAATAGAGAAATTGAACTTGGCGATTTAGAAAAATGTCTAGTATAGTTCCAAAAGCGTTTTGAATTAACTTTGATTTGACTCACTAATTTATCCTCAAAGTCAGACTTTGCTGTAATCATAACATTGTTCGTATTTATCCTTTCCTGTTCATATAGTTAAGGGCATACGATACGGTTTTGATCCCACGGTGATTTTTTTACGAAAATTTGCATACAAGCTATTTTTTACTTGGTGAGGTCTATTCAAATATCTTATAAAAAATATAACTTCATGTGATAAATTAAGAGATAAAATAGGGTCGAAATTTTAGACATTTACTTAAAATTTCGGTTTCTTTGACATTTCTATCCTTTGGACAGACATACCTAGCTTTTTTGTTTCAAAAGATAAACACATGCGGATTTTTGTAAAAAGATTTGGAATATCTTCTTTACTGTGACAAAAGTATGCTCTTAATTTGTGTAACATTTCTTTGTAAATAATTCATCTTTATTAAATTTTCATGATATTAGAAAAAAAATCGGCATTTTTTTGTTTCATATTTATATAATTTTTAAAAACATTGGTGATTTTTTTATAAAAATTTGAACAAATAATCTTCGTACAGTATCAAGTCAAATGTCATTTTAAAAAAGAGGGGTCCATGTACTCCTTTTCAAGCTAATAATTAAAATCACTCGAAAAATGCACTGTTTTCTACGATTCCTTTTAGCTTTATCAACAGATTGAGTTTGTAACTTGACCAAGGCTGACCGTGACGTTTTACAAGCTTTATAGTTTTAAACGAAATAAATGTATCAACAAGATTGTTGTATATGTCGCTGAATATTTTACAGCAAGAATCAACAAAGGAGTAGGCTCAGTAAGAGCCCTTTTTGGCCCCAATATATAGCAGTTTTTCAAAATTGTTAAAATGTAAATTTTTTAGCTATTTATTGGAAAGAAGAATACTTCTGCTACATAAATATGGGCTGTTTTTGACAATACAATGCACATGTATCGGGTACTAGCATCATTAAGTAATGCTAAATTACTGAAATCTTCGAAATTTTAGCATTTTGGTTAATTTTTAGACGGTTTCCGTCTGAAATGGAAGTGGCCGCATTTGTGTTCATTCTTAATATTTAAATGTAAGTTGTATTTGATGATAATACATAACATATATAAAGGTTGAGAATGAACACGGATGCGGCCACTTTCATTTTTGACAAAAACCATATGAAAAGTGACATATTATGGCATACTTGATAGATTTTTCATATTTAAGCCTGAATTTGAGCGTCTTTAATGACTAAATCAGTTCAAATCTTTCACTTAAACGAATTGAATCGACTGAAGTAGACACTTAAGTGTTTAAAAAGTGTCCAAAATCTTTCATCAGATGAACCTGAATTTTGAGGCCAAAATCAGCCCTTACTGGACCTACTCCTTTCTTTTCAAACAAATTGACTTTATCCCAGTTTTTCTGTTGTAATTCTTCATTTATATAAATGGACTCATAATCTCCTTTTGAATACAAATAACCCTTAAGATCTAAAGTAGTTTGTCTGACGGTAGGAAAACGAACGTACAGACTGTAACAGTTTACTTGAACAGATTCACTTAAAAGCCAACAGGTCAGTGGCGGATCCAGGGGGGGGGGGGGGTTCCGGAGGTTGGAACCCCCCTTTTTGACGATCAATGCATTTGAATGATAGTTGGAACCCTCCCCCCCTTTTATTCTGGGTTGGGAACCCCCTTTTAAAAATGGCTGGATCCGCCCCTGCAGGTTCATCGACATAGAAATCTTCAACAAAACTATAGTATCGCCACTTTTGAGTATCACTAACTATAGCCAACGAAATACTGTGTATCCCTTATGTACAAATTCTGAATCGTTCACTGACGTTTTCCAAGCTTAATAGAAACAGGATAGAAATGATCGGCAAAACATCGCTGTATCTAAGCTTTGTTATATATTTATTTCATTTTACATTCAGACATTTGTTTTTTTTCTATATTTATAATGTCAATCTTGACTGTATTACTCTTTAGTCCCAGATATTGGTCATCACTTGAAATCAAAGTTTTTAAAATATCCCGCGCATTTGAGTTCGGAATACCTTTAAATACAGTAACTCGAAAAGCGGAAGTACAAGCTACCATTTGCACGATGTCTAGCTTGAGAGTAATTTAAACGGAAAAATATAAAATTCTTGAGGCATCTTCAAACCTGTAGTTAAAAATTATAGCCTCTTATTCTTCTCCGGATATTTACATCCTTTATCGGATAACCATTCAATGTATGTATGTAGAACTGTTCACCTAAAACAAAAACGCTATACACTTTTTACACTGGGAAAAAAATTTAAAAGAAATGTTTTGGCTTCTAAATTTTAGCTTGCAAGCTTGATAAATAATATGACAGTGTTATGAAGTTGAACATATATATGCAAGGTAGTGTTCAGTTGAAGATTAAGGTTCATCTTTATCCTTTTTGCAATTTATATGGCCATCAACATGATCAAGTTACCATCTTCAGAGGGATCAATCTCATCACTCAGACATCAGCAATCAGGTATCCAGAAAAGTTGCTAATCACAAGCTGTGACTTTTGTTTAAACATTTCTGCTTTGTAATATTCATCTAAAATCGCCCCAAAATTGTTTGAAATTTATTAAGTTTATATCCCACAATTTGCAGTCAAGGATACAACTCCATGGTTATTAGAGAAAAATAACATACATTTGTTATTGAGGACTGAAAAATCAAAGAACTGTGATAACATATGTATGTTACATGTTTCAAAGGGACAATATACATCATTAGTTTTGTTAAAATGTCTATAAGTGCTATTGATATAACTATTGTCTTTATGTATTCTAAACTATAGAAAAATATAACAGTTCATAGTTTGTCAATCATGCATAGTAAACCTATGTTATTACAGAAAAAATATGCCTGTAATAACTAAAGGGTGTTATATATTACAGCTTCTCTACATCACTCCAAAGCATTTGCTCAGACATACATCATGCTTAATTACAATGTATTTTAATTCATTGTAAGAAACCATGATCAGAGCATGTAATGAGGTTCTGCACAAGTTTCCTAGTAATTCCTAAGTGTCTCTTATAATAAGTTGCATGCCTTTAATAACTAAGCCTTGTTATAAATTACTACAGCTGAGTTTATCCCTTAAAAGCCTTGTCTCATTGATTTACCATGGTGAATGAAAAATGTATTAATCTAATTTTCAAAAATTAGTTATCAAGGCTATGCATTTAGTTTCTGCGCAAAGTTTCAAGAGTTCCCTAGAGCCCACTAAAAATTAAAACATTTATGATTTATTTTACAAATAACAAACGTGTTATTACAGATTTCAAAAATTTAAGGATTAAAGAGTAGACAACTCATCAAAGTATCTGTAATAACACATGCAAGTTTTTTTCTGTAATAACCCTATAGAGTTATATCTCTTGACTGATTTGGAATATCATATTCCAAATAGGGTTATTATATCCCAAACTGGGTATTGCAGCCTTCAATTTAGTCTACTGAAATGGTCCCCTGGGGGACTTTAAAAGCTGATTGGCTACTAAAAATTCATAACTAGTACATTTAGGCTATTAGAATATTGAAAATCTGGCGACCGTAAATTTTCGTAAATTTTGCCCTGATCAGAGTCTGGTTTTTAAAAAGTCTTCTTAGCGCTTGACAGTGACACAAATTTATACTGTATTTCAAGCGCCTTTTAGATTTAAGCTTGATCTTGTCAGTGCTTTATTGCATCAGGTATTTGGAAGCAATTTGTTGTCGTTGATTGAAAATGGCACACTTACTTCGTATTTCTGCACTCACAATTTTGACTATTACGTGCCGTTAGAAAGAAAACCATTGGCATTTATAGATTGTGTTTATTGAAAGCACATAGTCTAGCCTCGTTCTCGATTTCGTCAGTAAACGGATGGAAACAAGGTCGTCGTTTTTGTAACTTGTTCTCTAAGATTCAATAAAATACCGGCTTCAATTTCGCAAACGATTTCAGATGTTCACTTGACAGATCGGGTAAACACCAGTGTTTCTAAGCACAAGTCCGATGAGATTACTAGACTGGGGCTTCGGGCTACCGCTTAACGTTGCAGACTGTTTTAAAACATGTACAATGAATATAAAATTAGATAAATCATGTGGTTATTTTACAGTTGATTTTATACAAACTATTTTCTACACTCAACAGCATAAAAACACAGAACAAAAACTTAATGCTTTTATTTCTCAAGGGTTTTTTAACTAGAAAAAAAATGTAGGCAAACTGATATTATTTCCTGACCACTGAAATTTTGAGTTGGCCACTAAATTTTCATGTCTGGTGGCCAATTGGCAACTTCATTTCAGAAGCTACTTTGAGGGCTGTATTGTAACCTATTTGGGTGACTGGTCCAGACCTGCTTCATGACTAATTTTCATGTTACAATTTTGATATAGTCATAGAAAGAATAATCAGTGTATACAGTAAAAATGGAGAAATTTCTTAAAAAAAACCTTTTATTTATTTCATTAAAATAAGACAACTTTTTGCAGATCTAGTCATTGCTAGTGATTGCTTTGCATGTTTTACAAACAATTTCCAACATAACACCAATGTAAATTATCCATTATATATTTTATTTTATCATTGTGAAGCTCATGTACAATTATTTTGAAAATTGTGATACACATTGTATTGAAAATAGCTGTATTAGATATACTACTAGTAGATCTAAAATGTATGCAAATTTCAAATATAATTTTGTTATTCTTTTACAGATATATGCATCTTACTAAGTGAAATGAGCAGAATGAAATAGATTACTAGATCATTTTCGTGATCATTGGAGTTTCCTTTGTGAAAATGCCAAGAAAAAGACCAACAGAAACATCTTGGGATAGGTACTACCATAAATACTTTAGTTTTTCCACGGGGATGACGTTTTCTAGTCAGATATCTTAGAATTTAACGATGAAGCTCATATCTTAGTAGGATTGGATTTACATCTCTCATTCTTCCATGTGTAATAAATGAAAATCATGTGATTAATGTTGATTTAAAAGGGATTGTTTATTCTAATTAAGTTTTTAAAAATGTTTTCATAAAAATATATGTGTTTTTATATGACCGCAAAAAATTATTGTGGTCGTATATTGGTATGACATTGGCGTCGTCGTCCGGGGTCGTCGTCCAAAGACACATTGGTTTTCGCACAATAACTTTAGTTTAAGTGAATGGATCTCTATGAAATTTTAATACCATTAAAGGATGGTGGGGATTGATTTTGGGGGTTATGGTACCAACAGTTAAGGAATTAGGGGCCAAAAAGGGGCCAAAAATAAGCATTATTGTAACTTCCAGACATAACTTGTGTGTTAGTGTATGGATCTCTCTGAAATTGTACCACAAGGTTCCATATCACAAAGGGAATGCTGGGGATTGATTTTGGGGGTAATTGCCTCCAAATTTTAGGAATTAAGGGACAAAAAACAAGCATTTTTCTAGTTTCATGACAATAACTTGTGTGTAAGTGTATGGATCTCTCTGAAATTGTACCACAAGGTTCCATATCACAAAGGGAATGCTTGGATTGATTTTGGGGGTAATTGCCTCCACATTTTAGGAATTAGGGGCCAAAAAGGGGAAAAAAACAAGCATTTCTCTAGTTTCATGACAATAACTTGTGTGTAAGTGTATGGATCTTTATGAAATTGTACTACAAGGTTCCATATCACAATGGGGAAAGCTGGAATTGAGTTTGGGGGTAATTGCCGAAACGTTTAGGAATAAGGGGCCAAAAATAAGCATTTTTCTAGTTTCCAGACAATAACTTGTGTTCAAGTGTATGGATCTCTCTGAAATTGTACTGCAAGGTACCATACCACAAAGGGATTGCTGGGATTGATTTTGGGGGTAATTGCCTCCAAATTTTAAGAATTAGGGGCCATAAAGGGGCAAAGAAACAAGCATTTTTCTAGTTTCAGGACAATAACTTGTGTGTAAGTGTATGGATCTTTATGAAATTGTACTGCAAGGTTCCATATCACAAAGGGAAAGCTGGGTTTGAGTTTGGGGGTAATTGCCCTAAACGTTTATGAATTTGGGGCCAAAACGGGGCCAAAAAAAAAAAGCATTTTTCTAGTTTCCAGACAATAACTTGTGTTCAAGTGTATGGATCTCTCTGAAATTGTACTGTAAGGTACCATACCACAAAGGGAAGGCTGGGATGGAGTTTGGGGGTGATGAATCATAAGGGGGTTCAAAAAATTGGGGGGGGGGGGGTTTCGTTTTTTTCTTTAAAATTTTCCATTTTAAATTGGTTATTTCTGATTTATCTATAAAAGCAAATAATAATGATATGGTTTGAATAGGTAAATTAAAAATTTTTAAGTTCTTAGACCACATTCATTCTGTGTCAGAAACCTATGCTGTGTCAAATATTTAATTACAATCCAAATTCAGTGCTGTATCAAGCTTGAATGTTGTGTCCATACTTGCCCAACTGTTCAGGGTTTGACCTCTGCGGTCGTATCAAGCTGTGCCCAAGCGGAGCATTTTATTGTAACTTCCAGACAATAACTTGTGTGTTAGTGTATGGATCTCTCTGACATTGTATCACAAGGTTCCATATCACAAAGTGAAAGCTGGGATTGATTTTGGGGGTAATTGCCTCAAAATTTTAGGAATTAGGGGCCCTAAAAGGGGCAAAAAACAAGCATGTACTTTTTTCTAGTTTCATGACAATAACTTGTGTGTAAGTGTATGGATCTTTATGAAATTGTACTGCAAGGTTCCATATCACAAAGGGAAAGCTGGAATTGAGTTTGGGGGTAATTGCCCAAAATGTTTAGGAATAAGGGGCCAAAAATAAGCATTTTTCTAGTTTCCAGACAATAACTTGTGTTCAAGTGTATGGATCTCTCTGAAATTGTACTGCAAGGTACCATACCACAAAGGGAAGGCTGGGATTGATTTTGGGGGTAATTGCCTCATAACTTTACGAATTAGGGTCCAAAAAGGGGCAAAAAACAAGCATTTTTCTAGTTTCAGGACAATAACTTGTGTGTAAGTGTATGGATCATTATGAAATTGTACTACAAGGTTCCATATCACAAAGGGAAAGCTGGAATTGAGTTTTGGGGTAATTGGCCAAAATGTTTATGAATAAGGGGCATTTTTATACGCCCGTTTACGGGACGTATTATGGTATACCGCTGACCATCTGTCCGTCCGTCGTCAACATGTCGGACATTAATTCAAAAATGCTTTAACCAATATGCATGAAACTTTGGTGAATTGTTTATATCTATTGACGTGAGCTCCCTTTTGTTTTTTTATAATTTTCAGATTTACCATTTCCGAGTTTTGGGGTTTTATTCATTAAAAACGGGGGGATTTTCCAGTTTTCGGACAATAACTCAAAAACAATTTTACCAATTTGCATGAAACTTTTGTGAGTTGTTCATATCTATTGATGTGAGCTCCCTTTCGTTTTATATAAATTTCGGGTTTACCGTTTCCAAGTTTTGGGGTTTTATTCATTAAAAAAGGGGGGATTTTCCAGTTTTCGGACAATAACTCAAAAAAAATTTCACCAATTTGCATGAAACTTTTTGTGAATTGGTAACGTTCCTATCTATTGACATGAGCCTCCTTTCGATTTTTAAAAAATTTTGGATTTACCGTTTCCGAGTTCTGGGGTTTTATTCATTAAAAAGGGGGGATTTTCCAGTTTCCAATTTTTTGATAAATACCAAATACCAAATCATATTGTAAAATAAATGTTTGTGATTAAAAATCATATCCCATATATATGTATGCAATAAATTTAAAACAGAAAGTGCAAACAATAACAGGACTAAATCAGTCTGCACCAAAATCTTTTCCAACTTTATAGCTACTAGTCCGAAGATCAACATTCCAACATGATTCCTATGTGACGGTGTATAAATAAAGTTTTGAAAAGACTTATTACTAACAAAATTTTACTAGTCTGGGGCATCGGACTAGTTTCTAACAGTGCAGACTGTTGAATGGGGTTTTCATTTATTTTTTGGCGTCGCTATATTTCTAGTTACTGCAGTTTTTATGTCTCTTGTTTAGTTTTAATACTGTGGTACTGTGTTATGTCAGAATATTATTGGTTAAAAAGATCAATAAACAGTTTGTATACTTTTAATATTTTTTAAAAATAAATTAAACATGATTCATTACATAATATTCATCTAAATTTAAAGTAATTAAATCTTTTATAAAATCCATGATCAATAAAAATAAAATATCATTCAAACAGGAACATATATATTGTTAGATATACTGTTCCCAGATTCAAAAGAGAACAAAAATGTTCAATTTAAAAACCTTTCTAGTTTCTAGAAAGAAAGTAGTTGTATGTGAAAGGATTCCTGTCATAAGGGAGATATAAAATTAACAAGAACAAAAGGTACAAAATTGTGTAATAATTTGAACCAGTTTCTATCTTAAATTTTAATAAAAAGAAAATTTTCATAAATTTTAAAACATTTTGCTATAGATTTCATGAACATGTAAATATTAACCTTTCTCGTCTTTAGTGATAATCAAACATAGTTACAGACTTAATACTGCACTGAAATCTAAATCTTGATTTGTCATGATCCATTTAAAAAGAATTCCTAAATCTATAAATTTATCTTAGGTCTATAGATCTATAAGTAACATATTCAATGTCAACAACAAAGTCTCCCTATTTTCCCGCCTAAATGACAGTAAGTAGATATAAATAGATTTAACATGTGCTTATGGATTAAAATTGCAAGATCACTTCTGTTATTCATTAATGATCATATGGATATATATATCCGGTTTGAAGGTACAGTCATGCATTTTATTTATAAAATAGAATAGATTGCAGTTAATTGTAAATAATCTTGAATATACTACGTGAACTAACTGGGTCATTTGATCCTCCCCCTTTGAATTACTTGTTGACAGTTTGAAACCGGAATATCATGCAATAACTATGTCATAATTAAAGATAATTTTGTCCATGGTTTAATCAGAGACATATAAAACTATAATATAAGTATTGAGCTAACTTTATAATGTACAAAATATGTACCGTCGTGTGTACAACTATCGGGTCAACACGGTTTGTTCTCAAAGTATTTGCCGACTTGTCAGGTGGTGAGTGAAGCCTTAAAATAGTTATCTTTGATCATAAAGTTATGATCTCTGAATTAAAACACAAAAGAATCATGTAGAAAGTGTTAATTACATCGATTAAATCCAATCAACAAAGGTTAACCTCATAAAGGTAAATCAATCACGTGGTGTAAACAATCCGTGTTGAACTGGTTTGAATTGGTCAAATTTCACCTGGAATTTTATACCGCACGGAAAAGATTTAACAAGTTTTTTAAAACTTTACCGATTTACGATTTTTTAACTGAAAATTTTAGCACCACGGAGAAAAATTATACATCGCGGTAAGAACGATACCACCACGGTGAAAAATTATACATCGCGGGCCCGCGGTCCTTTAAGGGCCTGGGGAGAACACTGTGATTGTAATTAAGGGCTTAAGATCAGTTGGTTTGTCTTCTAAATTCTATCCTGGTCATGCTGGTATGGCCTTAGATCCGTCTTTTTCTTTGACTCTTCAGTTTTAGAATTTTTTACCCAGATGCTAGATTTTGCATATTCAATGGAACTTTTTTTTAATACTTATTCATATTTTTCAGTGATGAAGATGAACTGTTAAATGAAACCGATACATTTAGTTTAACGTCTCGTTCAAAGGTGAGTACTTTTTATAAGAAAAAATAAGAATTATATCAGACAAATGTAAAAAGTATGCAGGTTCCTGCTTTAGTAAAAATACAAACTAAAAAATATATTTTTGACTAGGTACTGTCAAATGTCAATCAGGTTGATAAGCTTTAAAGTCATATAATACTTCAAATGTAACAAAAAAGATGAATATGTTTTATATACCTTAAAGGCTAAGTTTGACTATAAAAACACATGTACATGGACTTTATTATACCCCACGCAACGGGTTGCGGAGGGTAAAATGTTTTTGACCCGTCCGTCTGTCCGTCCGTCAGTCCGTCAGTCCTGTTTCTTGTCATTGCAACTCCTCTCAAACCACACAACAGAATTTCATGAAACCTTTTTAGATAATAAGGACATACTATGTAGTTGTGCATATCGACAGGAAATTGCAATTCAATTTTTTTGCTAGGAGTTACACCCCTTTGAACTTATTTGCTTCAATGTACTACTGCAACAGTTTGTCATCGCAACTCCTCTGATACCACACAACAGAATTTCATGAAACCTTTTTAGATAATAAGGACATACTATGTAGATGTGCATATCGACAGGAAATTACGGTTCAATTTTTTTTTAGGAGTTACGCCCCTTTGAACTTATTTGCTTCAATGTACTACTGCAACAGTTTGTCATTGCAACTCCTCTGATACCACACAACAGAATTTCATGAAACCTTTTTAGATAATAAGGACATACTATGTAGATGTGCATATCGACAGGAAATTACGGTTCAATTTTTTTTCTAGGAGTTACACCCCTTTGAACTTATTTGCTTCAATGTACTACTGCAACAGTTTGTTACTGCAACTCCTCTGAAACCACACAACATAATTTCATGAAACTTTGTAGATAATAACGACATACTATGTAGATGTGCATATTGACGGGAAATTATGATTCAATTTTTGTTTCTTATACAATTTTTTTTTCTTACACATACTTTATTTCTCCAATGACAATGTGGGGATGTGGGGTATGTGAGCACACTCACTAAGGTTCTTTAATTTTATCAGAATCTTTAGAAATCAACTACTATTGAATTATTGTCTACCTGTACTCTAATTCACCAACAGCTTTTCCGTATGCAGTGACTTAAACCATGACATCTTGTTAAAAATTTGGCAATTGCAATTATCACTGGTTATGGGAACGCATGAAAAATAAAAAGAATACAAAAAAACAACATTCTCTATAACCCAACTATAGCTTCCTATTGTTGTATTTTTAGTGGCCAAATTATTGACCTAACCATGTCTTCTCCTCCTCCCTGTATATATACCAATGAACTGAAAATTTAAAATTTGTTATATTTTTTTCAAAATATAAATTATAAATAGATTCCCAGAAATGTAATAGAAAATAAGAATTAAAACATGGAAAAAAATGTTTTTTTGTAGGAATTTGAGGAGGAGTTAGATGAAGAAGCCTTACTTGGTTCAGATGAAGAAACAGAAAATGAAGTTTCAGTAGGCAAAGCCCTGTCTGTTAAAGATACAACCAAATATGGAAAACCAATAGCTACTGTAACATCTATGACAAATGCCAGAAGAATTTCCCCTATCAACTGGGACCAAAAAGCTAAGTGAGTTTCTGAGAATTGGTATGTCCAAAAATGGCTTTGAAATTATAAGTTAGACAGTTTAAATAATATTAGAGGTCTTATTGAGAATTTTGAGGTGTGATAGATGAGATAAATCTGAGATGAAGGCTGGTAAAATGTACCTGAACATTGAATAAGTTGAAATTCAAATAGTTAAGAGGACTGTCCTGTTTTGTTCATAGTTAGACTAATTAACAGAGTTCTTGAAATCTTTTTTTTCCTGGTGGTCATTGGGACCACCGAGACTAAAAATCTGGTGGTCCTTGAGAAAATCTGGTGGTCCTGTAATTTTACTTGAATTTTTCAAACACCTTTTAGTTACATGTAAGCCATTGCTCAATACTATATTAAATCCATCCTAGTTTCTATGTTATATATTTGGTCGTTTTCAATTAAATTTTGAACTCTGCATTGTTCACTAATTTTTATACTTTGTCAGTTTGATTAAATGTTTGTTTTATGTTTCATGCATTATACTACAATCATTTACAGTGAAAAGTGCATTAAAATGAAAGACTAAGTCTGATGTTTATTCCTCAGCTGCAAATTTTGTAATATAGAAACCGTCTTTGAACGAGATAGGCCATGCCGCAGCCATGATGACTTTTATGACTGGTTATTTTTCAAAAGTATTACCGTAATTTTGAGCTACATGTATGCTACAAAAGTTAAATTACAGTAGTTACCAGTTCAAAAACTATCTGAATACCAAAGAAACCGAAGACTGGTTCTTTTTCAAAAGTATTACTGTAATTTTGAGCTATGCAATTAAAGTTTGTTTACATTAGTAACCAGTTCAAAAGCTATCTGAATACCGAAAAGATGTAAAATAAAAGTGAACAACCACCAAAATTTTATCGGTCATCAGGACTGCCACTACACATGCAATTGTCATTCATAGCCGATTTTTGGCGGTCAGGACCGACGGTTTTCGAGAACTCTGAATTAGCATAATAAAACAAAACAATTCTAAGCTTTTAATCCAAATATTTAATGTTATCATGTGATTATATGTTGTAGTAAATCTGATGACTTTGAATTTGGAGAGACAGCTGATGATATTGAGTTATATGCCCCTGATGATAGTACTGATTTTGATGTTGGGACTTCACAGGTAAGTTTTCTGGTCAGATATTACCAACCACCATCCAATTCTCATCTCAAAAAATAACCTAAAAGTTAACTAGTAAAATTACAGATTCTTTTCAAAAGTTATCCGATATGGAATACATTTCTTACCAATATTTGAAGCTGAAATGTCAATGAATCAAGTCTTTCAGTGAGTCTCTTTTAATTTTAATGTGTTCAATACAAATACAGTAGACTCCAGCAAATCGGATACACAAAATGTCAGCTAAAAATATCCCATTACCTGATATATATATGCAATTAGACAATAAATGTATATTCATTGAATATTCTGCAATAATGAGTTGACCAAATCCTGAGATGTTACTAGCCCTGACCACTGCTATATATATATATAAAAGGGTTAGAGTGATTTTTATACGACCGCAAAACAAATTTTTGTGGTCGTATATTGGTATGATGTTGGCGTTGTCGTCGTCGTCGTCCGAAGACACATTAGTTTTCGCACTATAACTTTTATTTAAGTGAATGGATCTCAATGAAATTTAAGCATAAGGTTCAATACCACAAAAGGAAGGTGGGAATTGATTTTGGGGGTTATGGTACCAACAGTTAAGGAATCAGGGGCCAAAAATAAGCATTTTTGTAACTTCCAGACATAACTTGTGTGTAAGTGTATGGATCTCTCTGACATTGTATCACAAGGTTCCATATCACAAAGGGAATGCTGGGATTGATTTTGGGGGTAATTGCATCCAAATTTTAGGAATTAGAGGCCAGAAAGGGGCAAAAAACAAGCATTTTTCTAGTTTCATGACAATAACTTGTGTGTAAGTGTATGGATCTCTCTGACATTGTATCACAAGGTTCCATATCACAAAGGGAATGCTGGGATTGATTTTGGGGGTAATTGCCTCCAAATTTTAGGAATTAGGGGCCAAAAAGGGGCCAAATACAAGCATTTTTCTAGTTTCATGACAATAACTTGTGTGTAAGTGTATGGATCTTTATGAAATTGTACTACAAGGTTCCATATCACAAAGGGAAAGCTAGAATTGAGTTTGGGGATAATTGCCCAAAAAGTTTAGAAATAAGGGGCCAAAAATAAGCATTTTTCTAGTTTCCAGACAATAACTTGTGTTCAAGTGTATGGATCTCTCTGAAATTGTACTGCAAGGTACCATGCCACAAAGAGAAGGCTGGGATTGATTTTGGGGGTAATTTCCTCAAAATTTTAGGAATTAGGGGCCATAAAAGGGCAAAAAAACAAGCATTTTTCTAGTTTCCAGACAATAACTTGTGTTCAAGTGTATGGATCATTATGAAATTGTACTGCAAGGTACCATACCACAAAGGGAAGGCTGGGATTAAGTTTGGGGGTGATGAATCATAAGGGGGTTCAAAAAATTTGGGGGGGGGATTTTTTTTCCCTTTTTTTTCTTTAAAATTTTCCATTTTAATTTGGTTATTTCTGATTTATATATAAAAGCAAATAATAATGATATGGTTTGAATAGGTAAATTAAAAAATTTTAAGTTCTTAGACCACTTTCATTCTGTGTCAGAAACCTATGCTGTGTCAAATATTTAATTACAATCCAAATTCAGTGCTGTATCAAGCTTGAATGTTGTGTCCATACTTGCCCCAACTGTTCAGGGTTCGACCTCTGTGGTCGTATCAAGCTGCGCCCCAGCGGAGCATTTTATTATCAGTTACATCACCACAATGGTCCACAATATAACAGCTGGTTATGTAATGCTCATATTTGTTTTCAGTTTTTGAAAACTATATATTAGAATAAATCAAATGTCCTGAAATAATTATGTGAATAAATATCTACCATCCATAGTTTGTGTCTTTATTTGTTTTTATAAACGAAGTATAATCCATATTTACATTTGTATGTGGTGAAATCACAGGTAAGCAAATTGGGCTATGAATAGATTACAGCATGTTCTGTGTACAGTCTCTAAACTGATATCGTATTTGTAATATATTTCATTTCTTTAAATAATCAAATTTAATTGAATATCAATGAAGATAATCATGATTGATAAAATATTATAGCATCAAGTTTAAGTTTTTTGAAGGCTGTTAATGTTTAGGTCATGGTTCTTGAGGCTTCTTCACATTATGTAAACAAAAGAAAATGGCGTCCATGACATGAGATCATGCACATGTTACATAATTATATCTGACAAAAGTCGATTTCTCTTTTCAAAAGGAATTCATATGTATATTGCAATAAATCATTCAGTTTGAATTATGTATCTGATTCTGTTAGCATTTCAGAGTGTTATCAAAATTCCCCTATCATAATGCTCTTGTATATGATTTTTATGCCCCCGCCATAGCGATGGGGCATTAAGTTTTACCCTTGTCCGTCTGTACGTATATCGTCCGTACATCCCAAAATTGGTTTCCATTCTCTGACTTGAGTTTGCCTTAACCAAATGTTATGAAAATTTTACACAATGCTTATTACCACAAAACACAGATCAAGTTTGAATTTTGGTGAAGTCACTTTAACCGTTCTAGAGTTATGCCCTTTATAAATGGAAAAATTGCAAAATGTGTCCGTCTGTCCATAAGCTCCCTTTTGTTTTTTTATAAATTTCGGATTTACCGTTTCCGAGTTTGGGGTTTTATTCATTAAAAAAGGGGGGATTTTCCAGTTTTCGGACAATAACTCAAAAACAATTTCACCAATTTGCTAGAAACTTTGGTAAATTATTTATTTCTATCGACATGAGCTCCCTTTTGATTTTTATAAATTTTAGACTATACTTTTCTGATTTATGGGGTTTTATTCTTTACAAAAAGGGGGATTTTCCAGTTTTTGGACAATAACTCAAAAATGCTTTCAGCATTTTTTATGAAACTTTGGTAAATTGTTTATATCTATTGTTGTAAGCTCCGTTTTTATTTTTATAAATTTAAGATTTAATGTTTCCCAGTTATAAGATTTTATTCATAAAAAAGGGGTGATTTTCAAGTTTTTATACGACCGCAAAAAAATTTTTGTGGTCGTATATTGGTATGACGTTGGCGTCGTCGTCGTCCGGCGTCGTCGTCGTCCGGCGTCGTCGTCGTCCGGCGTCGTCCGAAGACACTTGGTTTTCGCACTCTAACTTTAGTTTAAGTGAATGGATCTTTATGAAATTTTACCACAAGGTTCAATACCACAAAAGGAAGGTTGGGATTGATTTTGGGGGTTATGGTGATAACAGTAAAGGAATTAGGGGCCAAAAAGGGGCCAAAAATAAGCATTTTTGTAACTTCCAGACATAACTTGTGTGTTAGTGTATGGATCTCTCTGACATTGTACCACAAGGTTCCATATCACTAAAGGAATGCTGGGATTGATTTTGGGGGTAATTGCCTCCAAATTTTAGGAATTAGGGGCCAAAAAAGGGGCAAAAAACAAGCATTTTTCTAGTTTCATGACAATAACTTGTAAGTGTATGGATCTTTCTGAAATTGTACTACAAGGTTCCATATCACAAAGGGAAAGCTGGGTTTGAGTTTGGGGGTAATTGCCCTTAACGTTTAGGAATTTGGGGCCAAAAAGGGGCCAAAAAACACATTTTTTTCTAGTTTCCAGACAATAACTTGTGTTCAAGTGTATGGATCTCTCTGAAATTGTACTGCAAGGTACCATACCACAAAGGGAAGGCTGGGATTGAGTTTGGGGGTGATGAATCATAATGGGGGTTCAAAAAATTTTGGGGGGGGATTTATTTTTTTTAATTTTTTTATTTTTTTCCTTTTTTGTTTCTTTTAAAATTTTCCATTTTAAGTTGGTTATTTCTGATTTATATTTAAAATCAAATAATAATGATATGGTAGGAGATACACACCAAACAGGATGTGTAAATTATTATATAATAAGTATTGTGCAATAGCAAGAAATTTTCAATTGCACAGTATTGCACAATAGCAAGAAATCTTCAATTGCACAGTATTGCGCAATAGCAAGAAATCTTCAATTGCACAGTATTGCGCAATAGCAAGAAATATCCAATAGCACAATATTGCGCAATAGCAAGAAATTGTCAATTGTACAGTATTGCGCAATAGCAAGAAATATTTAATAGCACAGGATTGTGCAAAAGAAGATACTTCCTATAAATTGCTTATTTCTTGACCAATTTCAATGGGGTTTTATTCTTGATTTCATGGGGTTCTTTAATATGCTGAATCTAACCGTGTATTTAGTTTTTGGATTTTGGGCCCCGTTTTTAAATTGGTCCACATTGAGGTCCAAAGGGTCCAAAATTAAACTTTGTTTGATTTCATCAAAAATTGAATTATTGGGGTTCTTTGATATGCCGAATCTAACTGTGTATTTAGATTCTTAAATTTTGGTTCCGTTTTCAAATTGGTCTACATTAAGGTCCAAAGGGTCCAAAATTAAACTTAGTTTGATTTTAACAAAAATTGAATTCTTAGGGTTCTTTGATATGCTGAATCTAAACATGTATTTAGATTTTTGATTATGGGCCCAGTTTTCAAGTTGGTCCAAATCGGGGTCCAAAATTAAACTTTGTTTGATTTCAACAAAAATTGAATATATGGGGTTCTTTGATATGCTGAATCTAACCATGTATTTAGATTTTTGATTTTTGGGCCCCGTTATCAACTTTGTCCACATTGAGGTCAAAAGGGTCCAAAATTAAACTTTGTTTGATTTCATCAAAAATTGAATTCTTGGGGTTCTTTGATATGCTGAATCTAACCATGTATTTAGATTTTGGATATTGGACCATAATAGGTGAATGTCCAATTTAAAATTTTTAAGTTCTTAGACCACATTCAATCTGTGTTAGAAACCTATGCTGTGTCAAATATTTAATCACAATCCAAATCCAAAGCTGTATCAAGCTTGAATGTTGTGTCCATACTTCCCCCAACTGTTCAGGGTTCGACCTCTGCGGTCGTATCAAGCTGCGCCCTGCGGAGCATTTTATTGGACAATATCCTTAAAGTGCTTAGAGCAGTTTTCATTTAACTTTGATGACTGATTTATATTTATTAAGATAACTTCTCTTTAGTTTTTTATAAATTTCTGATATAACATTGAGAAGTTATTTATTGTTTATAGTCTGACAACAGATTTATTAAGTATTGCGCAACAGAACAGTGTATTGCACAAGAAATCTTTAATTGAATATAAATTCAATTCATATAACCAATTTCAAGTTCTTTGACTACATTTATTCAGAAACCTATAATATGTCAAATATTTAATTACAATCCAAATTCAGACCTGTGTCAAGCGCGAATATTGCGTCCATTTTTGCCCCAACTGTTCAGGGTTGGACCTCTGCGGGCGTATCCAGCTGCGCTCAGCGAAGCAGTTTATTAAATTTGGAATTATCTTCCTTTGTCCATGATTATAGTTGAATCAACTACAATCAATGCTTTATACAATGCAATGTTTAATTTTGACTTCCACTGATAAAACACAGATCAAGTTGAATTTGGGTAGTGTCACTTTCACCATTATTGAGTTATGCCCCTTTATAAATCGAAAGATTGCAAAATTTTTAGTTTCCATTCTGTACTTTAAGTTTGCCCCAACTAAACATGAAACCTATACACAATATTCATTACCACAAAACTAAGATCAAGTACAAATTTTTTGTTTCCGTTTTCTAACTTTAGTTTGCCTCAACCAAATGTTATGAAACTTATACACAATGCTTATTACTACATAATACAGATTAAGTATGAAATTTTGTGGCGACACCTTTACCATTCTTGAGTTATGTCCCTTTATAAACATAAAAATTGCTGAATTTTTCGTTTCCGTTCTCTAACTTTAGTTTGTCTCAACCAAATGTTATAAAACTTATATACAACCGTTCTAGAGTTATGAGTGTTTACAAATGGAAAAATTGCTGAATTTTTAGTTTCTGTTCTCTACTTAAGTTAGCCTCAACCAAATGTTATGAGACTTACACACAATGCTTATTAACACAAAACTCAGATCAACTTCAAATTTGGGTAGCGTCACTTTTACCGTTCTTCAGTTATGTCCCTTTATAACTTTATGATATGCAAGCAGGGGCATCATCTGTGTCCACATTTATTATAAATAAATTCACTCCATTTGAATTTTAAGGGCATCTTATTCACATTTCAAAGGAAGACAATGAATAAAGGCAACAATTTATAAAGAAATAATTTCTTTTAAGTAAACACATAATTTTCTTGTTTGCAAGCTTGTAATTGCGTAACTTCCAGGTCCATTTCCTGTCAGAAAAACATTGACACATCCTATTTGCCGATATATTCTTATATCCGATATTTGATTACACGATAAAATTAACATTAATCATATAGGGAAGGGTTTGTTGTTTGGAATTAATATTACAATAGCCGATATATTCGTTTAGCCGATATCCGATTAGGTGGAGTTTGCTGTATTGATATTGATGTTAATTCACGATGAGCAATAATGGAGTACATAAAAATATAAAACATTGGGTTTTCTATATGCAATAACCGCAGATTTGGCATATTTATATTTGTCCCTGGGGCAAATAACTGTTCATTTCAGCCCCAGGCAACCCATATGAGGCCTCGGCTAGGGCCTTGGGATGATACCAGGGCTAATATGGAAAAGGACATGTTATAAGCTATAATTGTAAAATAGAATATTTGTATTTTTAAGATATACTATTGTAGCTATAAAAGGACTATTAGCATGATATTTCTATTGTAACTATTTGAGGGCTATCAGCATGATATTTCTTTGTCACTATTTAAGGGACTATCATCATGATATTACTATTGTATCTATTAAAGGACTTTATGCATTATATTTCTATTGTATTTATTAAAGGACTATCAGCAATACACAGAAGAGCCTGCAGTAGAAGAATCCATTAATGAAGAAGCAGAAGAAACAGAGACAACATTTGATGTAATTTTTAATATTGAATGATACACTTTTACATACAACTGATTTTTATGCCTCAACCGGGACAGAGGGGGCATAAAGGTTAACCCATGTCCGTCCATACGTACCTAACGAAATTGGGTTCCTTTCTCTTAACTTTAGTTTGTCGAATGTTTTGAAACTTATAAACAATGCTTAATACCACCAAACACAGATCAAGTTCAAGTTTTGGTGCCGTCACTTTCATTGTTCTTAAGTTATGTCCCTTTATAAAAGGAGAAATTGCTAAATTTGCCGTTTCCACACTATAAATTTAGTTTGCCTCAACTAAATGTTATGAAACTTAAACATAATGATACTTACCACCATTTGCGACATCATAAACATGTCTTAATGGACATATTTGACCAAAAAAGATTTCTAGTTGAATGTAATGTAGAGAAAAAAGATGATTTGGGAGTTTTTTTTTTTTAGTAATCCCTTGATTACAAGAAAAAATTAAAGAACATTGGCAAAAATAAGTTAAAATTAGATTGCTCAATGATGATGTAATTACTGATGAAAGGTAGTTGATTTTGTATTTGTCAGATAGTTTTAAATACATTTTTTCCTCATTCAAAAAATTTAATTTCAAGGAATTATAGAGCCAATATTGACCTTCATGAGCCTTCTAACAAATCCTGTAGAAATTATGTAACTCAAAGTCAAATATATTTTTCCTGATATCTGACATACTTATTCTTGATTGATGTTAATTAATCAGTGCAATTCAATTTAGATAAGAAAACAACAAGAGTGCTAATTTTCACTTCATTTTAACCAGTTTCAATTCAAAGGTTTATTTTTTTTTGTAAGTGTTGTATCTTGGTTTGCACTGATCTTCAGTTTTATCAATTCTATTTTCTATTATCTCCTAAATTGCAAAATGTGACTTTTATGTATTGACAGCAATCTCATGTGACTGCAGACACAACTCGTGATGAATCTGATGAAAGTGAAGATGAAGAGGACACCAGACGGGGTCGCTTTAAATCAGAAAGACAAGATATTGTCACAAGTACAACCAAAACAAAAACTACTAAGCAAGCAGCGACTACAGATATTCCAGACAGTCTAGGTAAGACAGTTGACAGCTACTCCATACTTTTTGAGCAGTTTTGATTTCTTAAAAAGATATGTAATCCTAATTTGTATTTATTTAATTACATTTTTAACAAACCACAAAATTAATATCAACAGAAAAAGATGCACATTTTTTCACAAATTGCACAAATTAAATTTGTTCTGCTGATAAATAACAAAACCTTATTAGAAACAAATGATATTAATATTGCAAGAATGATTATTAATGTGGAGATACCACAAAATGACCTCACGGGTATGATGCAGAGGTTGGACATTTTTGGTGCTAAGTAGAAGTAATTAACTTTTAGAAATTAAGCAGAAACTGCATAGTTAATTTTAGGTTTAATAAAACTTTGTAAAAAAAAGAACATTACTAATGGGGTTTTTTTATATCAAAGGATAAGCTGGTAAATGCATGATTATCATCTGCTTGATTTGAGAATTTATAACAATAAATTGACTGGAAAGGTGTAAGGGTTATGAAGAATGATCTAATGTCTTATGTTAATTCACTGCGGCTGCAACATGATTAAAGTTTGTCTCTGTTCGAACTAAATGAAGATATTGATTTTGGGGCTGTTACAAACAGGAAAATACCTGGTCCTTACCGAGTCCAGTTCCAGTATTATACATACCAATTTAGTAGTTAATTTAAATTGTAGAAAGTGTCATCAGATCTTCACAAATTCCTAAAATATTTTTTTTATGTAATAATCCTTATATAAACGACCAGTGATCAGTTTCACAAAAAATCTTATGACTAAATTTGATCGTAAATCATGAACAATTCAGTATACTTGTGATCAACTTTATTCGTAAGATATTTTGTGAAACTGATCACAGGTACAATAGGTAAAAGTTATTCTCTTCAGAACTCCATAAAATTATCATAAGCTATCATAGATAATTTCTTCAAACAGATGAATAACTGCATTAACAATTATCCAACATGAATGATTAAAATCCGAATCATTATCACAAGTCACAAAATCAGACTAGAGGGTCGAACAGTTGCATGGACCTAACTGGATAATCAGCTATTTAATTTTTCTTGAACTGTTAACATAATCCGCAAAATCAGGCTAGAAAATTTCTACAACCGAATAAATAAGTGCATCAGCAATTATCCTTCCTGGATAATATCATTTTCACAAGCCACAAAATCAGGATATATATTGATTGTAAAGTGATAAACAATTGGTTACTGAAATGAAATGGAGTTATTGTGTTTAGAGACCTCTTTATGTCAGTTTGCTCTCTATTACTTAAATGGCTAATTTATCACTTTATACATTGTATTGTTTTTGACTGATATGTAAAGTTTCGAATAGTAAGATTTTTTTACTATGATATGAAAAATATTGAACAAGTGGGAAAAAGTTAAACTGAGTATGTTGACCTTTGAAAAATTAAGGTAGAATATAGTCTTATAATATGTGGAAGTCTCCATGAACCTGAAAAAATGGCAGTGGCAACAGATCTTAGATTTATGTTAATTTCTCATCAATTAGGGACCCAGAAATCTATTCATTTCTGCAGTAAGGAATTGTGCAAGCACATTAATGTCAAAAAAATATACTCAAATTTGATTTCAGAAATATCTGATGAACAGCAAGCACAAATTAATGAGTTCATGGCTACGAAAGACAGGAAGAAGAGACCTAATCAACGAGTTCGGCCTTTTCAACAGTACAGACAGATGCATCCAAGTCGAATACAAACTATTACATCAACACACATGCATCATCAACCATCACCACCACCTATCATGCATCCCCCTCCACCGGTATTTGCAGCTCCACCACAACCAAGGCCCAAAATTCATGTGAATCCTGCATTTTATAACAGGGGGATGCGACCTCCGCCTACATCCATGACATCTGTTCACAATCAGCCCATGATGTTTGATTCTCCACCAAGATCTCAAACTCAATTATTTCATCATGAACCACCTCCACCAAGACATTATGAAGAACGCATCCCTCCTTTGGTATGTTTAGCTTTTAGACATACATATTGTTTCTGATCAATCTTCATCGATCTTGATGCAGTGGTTTTCAATAAGACCAGAAAAAACTCTATCTTAATCATAAAAAATTAAAGCTTTGATTTAGCAAAGCATTTTAAAATCATGGCAAAACAAATGTGTTTTAAAAGCTTCTTGCTTAAGAATTAATGGGTATGACAGACAGGATTTTTTTAGGGTGTCAATAGCAGGAAAATATTATATCTTCACTGATTCCTGTGTCAGTATTTTACATATTGTACTGGAAGTTAGCCATTTGTTATCTGTTAAACAAACAAAGAATAATGATGTTGTTTTGATCAATTCTGTCACATATTCTGATTCCAGCAGTATAAGAGAGCTCTGTTATATTGGAAAGAGCTCAAAATAAGGATCAGTCTGAAAATCCAAAGCACACAATTCACCATATCACGATAATTTCCCTCATTCATGTCATTGTCCATTTTAAAGTATGAAGAAGAGAGCTTACGAACAATATTTATATATGTTTTAACATCAAAGTAACTGCTATCGGTTTTTAATGTGTTTCTATTTAGAAAAAAAACCCAACTTATAATGAGTTAAAAAAAAAATTAGATCATGTTCACACAAGTTTTTTTTGGTTTGACCCAGATTTTGTGGTTCACTGAACAAAGAAGTGTGAAAGTGTGAGCAGGGCATGGTGTCCTATGAATTTTTTTGTCTCATTTTAAAAGATAATGACCTCTAACACAAATTATGTAAACAACAAAATGATAGAAAATAAGTATTGCAGTAGATTATCACATATTTCCTGAAATATTGCAAAGCCCCTCAGTGGTCTTGTGGTAGTGTGTTCACCTCGAATGCGGGAGGTTGTGGTTTTGAACCAAAGACTTTAAAATTTGTATTTGCTGCTTCTCCACTCAGCACATAGCATTAAGTAGAAAGGGCAAAAGACTGGTCAACTCAGGATCAGAATAATGTGTCTCGGAAGGGTGACATGTCTTCCTGTGGATTGTTACCTTATGAACAATTATGTTAAAAATTTGGCTCAGCGTGTCGGTCTAGTACAAAGCAGGGGTCATATTCATATCGCATTAATATGTTCTCGTCCTGAATATGCATTTAATTTGCCACTAGAAGTTAGACAGCCATCCATCCATTATCTGAAATATTGCAATATGTATCAAACATATTTTTAGCCTATCACTGGCACTGTTCCCGCCTGCCCTAAATAGATGGGCTGCCCGCCCTTGGTGCCCTTACCTCCGCCCTTCTGCCCTCCAAAGTAAAAGAAAGCACCACTCTGCCTTTTCAAAAAAATAAAATTTCCAAATTTCATGCCTACCGGCGTTTCCGGTAAAATTGTTACCTGATTGTGTAACACTAATTAATTTCAGACAACTAGCACCCTTCTGCCCTGAGATTCAAGCTGGAACACTGTCTGCACCTTTGTTATATACTTAAGGCACAAGGAAATTTGAAAACATTTGATTAGTTTGTTTATGAAGGTCCATTTATATGCCATTCTTGTTAATATAGAAAAAAGGAGTGAACAAATATAAATATTGTCGGAAACTAGTTCTCTTTAAAATTACAATGAAATAGTTCTGTTATACAAACAAAGCATAGATTAACATATCTTTTTTTTTGTAGATGGACTCGTATAGACCTTCCTATAACCAGGGTCCACCCCCACAACATCATCATCCACCAGCCCATCATCAGTTTGGACATCAACCAACATCACAGCCATATCCAGGTATTATTCTTTTGTTTTATGTTCTAATTCCTAAACTCAACTGAACATCCCGATCAAAACTCTCACATGGGTAAAGCCACTTGCAAAAGTCAAGTGCAATTTTTTATTATGCAAATAAATGCATGTAATTATTTTATCTCAATGAAAAATGTCTGCCTCGGAATAGCACTTCAATATTTGCAACCCATCTTGTACAACCAACCTTTAAATCAATAATTTTTGATTTTTATAATTATTAATTTGAAAAAAAACATCTGCACACCTGACTGTAATGACTAGAATGACGTAAACCAGTGTTCTCCCCAGGATTTTTGGATAGCACCAGGGTAACGTGTGTGGACTTCTTGGTGAAATATTTCATGCAATCAGTTGTGTCGCGTCGCGTCGCTTAGCTCTAGTTACTGTAGTTTTTATGTCTCTTGTTTTGTTTTAACACTGTGGTACTGTGTTATGTAGACATTGATTCAGAAAATTATTGGTAAAAAAGAAGTAAATAAAAAAACAGTTTGTATACTTTAATATTTTTTTTAAATAAATAAATTATGATTCATAATAAAATATTCATCTGAATTTAAAGTAATTAAATCTTTTATAAAATCCAAAATCAATAAAAATAAAATATCATTCAAAAGAGAACAAAAATGTTCAATTAAAAAAACTTTTTAGTTTTTAGAAAAAAAGTTGTTGTATGTGAAAGGATTCCTGTCATATAAAGAAGATATAAAATTAACAAGAACAATTGCAAATATTGTTTTATTATTTGAACCAAGTTTCTATCTTAAATTTTAATAAAAATAAATTTTTCATAAATTTTAGAACATTTTGCCATAGATTTCATGTAAATATTAACCTATCTTGTCTTTGGTGATAATCAAACATAGATACAGACTTAATACTGCCCTAAAATCTAAATTTTTATTTGTCATGAACCATTTAAAAAGAATTCTTAAATCTATAAATTTATCTTTGGTCTATAGATCTATAAGTAACCATATTCAATGTCAACAACTAAGTCTCCCTATTTTCCAGCCTAAATGACAGGAAGTAGATATAAATAGATTTAACATGTGCTTATGGATAAAATTTGCAAGATTACTTCTGTTATTCATTAATTATGGATATAGATATCCAGTTTGAAGGTACAGTCATGCATTTTATTTATAAAATATAATAGATTGCAATTAATTGTAAATAAACTTGAATATTCTATGTGAACTAACTGGGTCATGTGATATGTACAGACAGATACTACAGTTTGAAACCTGACTATCATGCAATAACTATGTCATAATTAAAGATAATATTGGCCATGGTTTAATCAGAGACATATAATACTATAATATAAGAATTGGGAATGTATAGTTGTCCATTATACGTAATGAGCCACCATTATAATGTACAAAAAATGTACCTATCGGGTCAAGACACTGTTTGTGTACAAAGTATTTGCCAACTTGGTCACAGGTCAGTGCTTGGGTGGAGAGTGAAGCCATAAAATAGTTATCTGTGATCATAAAGTTATGAACTCTTAATTAAAACACAAAAGAATCATGTAAAAAGTGTTAATTACATCGATTAAATCCAATCAACAAGGTTAGCCTCATAAGGTAAATCGATCACGTGGTGTAAACAATCTGTGTTGAACTGGTTTGAACTGGTCAAATTTCACCTGGAATTTTATACCGCACGGAAAAGATTTAACAAGTCGTTTAAAACTTTACCGATTTACGATTTTTCAACTGAAAATTTTAGCACCACGGAGAAAAATTATACATCGCGGTAAGAACGATACCACCACGGTAAAAAATTATACATTGTGGGCCAGCGGTCCTTTAAGGGCCTGGGGAGAACACTGCGTAAACTACTAACAAACTATCTGTGCATGTAATTCTACCCTTATTTTTTTTAGATATCCAATCAAACAGTCCTGTCTATAAATACCATAATAATGTGTACCTAAAAACACAACAAAAATAAATTTGTATAGAAATATGAACAACTAATCAAATCAAGTGACACAGGAAAAGAGAAAATGCACTTGCAAATCCTTCTGTCGAGGAATCTCTTTAGGTGAATGATTAAACAGTAAATGCTTGCAAGTGCAGGAGAAAATTATGCAATTACCCAATATATGCAATTAAGAGGGGACAAGTGAAAAATCCATGGTATAAGACATATCAAACTTTCAAGACTTTCCACACCTAAAGCATGAATGATTCTTTTATTGATCATACAAAATCTAAATTCAGTTTTTGGAACTAGCATGGCTTCCAGGCCAAACCTCCTCTTTGCGTCAGTCTGCTGTTGAGCAGTGACCCAGGATCCCAGAATTTTAAGAAGAGGTTTGGCCAGTATGCAAGGCTAGCTGGCTAACGGAAGCTTTCATATCAAATCCCGAAAGATCTGGGTCACAGAAATCACAATCTTTTAAGTGTTTTAATCAGTTTGGATTTGCAAGGCATTTTACACACGTATTGATTGTTATCCTGCGAGAAGTTACAAAGTAAAAAAATGGACTTAGTGAGTTAGAAAAAATGAAAATGTATAGGCCTGGTACCTGTGTTTTTCTTATCAATCTAAAGGTTATATTAGAGTTTTTTTACTTTTCTTTCTTTTCTGTGCTATTTTTTTATGCCCCTATCCTTCTGTCCATTGCAAATTTTTCGTTTCTGCACTCGTACAAGTTTTTCTCATCCAAATTTTATGAAACTCATACACAAAGCTAAGAACCAAAAAGTTGCAGACAGAGTTCAAATTTGGCATTGAGTCACTTACCATTCTAGAGTAATGAATGCCCCTTTATAACTTGGAAAATTGCAAATTTTTTCATATCCACATTCCTAAGTGTGACTCATGTAAGTTTTATGAAACTTATACATAATACTAAGAACCACAACATGCAGACAGAGTTCGAAATTTGGCAGTGAGTCATTTACCGTTCTAGAGTAATGCCCCTTTTGATCTTGGAAAATTGCAAATTTTTCAGTTTCCACAAACTTTAAGTTTTCCTCGTCCAAATTTTATGAAACCCTTACACAATGCTAAGTACCACAACTTATAGACAAGAGTTTGAATTTGGAATGTGAGTCATTTACCATTCTAAGGGATCATAGATTTATTCTTACGAGCCAGCTCGGAGGATGCTCGGAGCTTTTTAAGTAGGCTCTTCTCAGCAGTTAATGTGACAATAATTATCATGATCTATTAAGATGTCAATCAAATCTACACCACTTCTATGATAAGGAAAGTAGAGCATTATAGAGGAAGCTCCATAAACACCTGTGTAAACATCTGGTCTATTCAAATACATTTTGCATGAAATTTTACAAAACTATATATAGATTAGAAATTCTTCAACAGCTTGGAAAGAAATCTCAAGTCTCCACAAAAAGTAAAGGTCATTTAAATATTTTCTTATTATATTTAATAATCATTCCTTTTTTAATAATAAAAAAATTCTCAAATTTTATAATTAGATGATATGATTTAAAAATAGTTTATATTATATAATATGCTACATAAAAGTTATCAAGACACAAACAACAGTCGGGTGGCAATACTAAACAAGTAATTTTTTTTAGTCACTTTTATAAGTATTTTTCGTTTTTGAAAATTATTTAATAACTCAATAGTTATTTTAAATGTCAAATAAAGCGTGGACTAAATGTAGTTTTAAAGAATTTTTATATCATTTCATTAAATAAAATTAAGTATTTATCCAATTTTAGATGAGTATAGAGAGGTTACTTTAAAAAATAATGACAAAAATATCACTTTAATAAATTATTTTATACAACTTCAAAAAACTTAGAACTTACAATTATTTAAGGAATATATGTAATTGCTTTTGATTAAGATTCAAATTATAAATAACTTCAAGTCTTAATTAAAGGTTCCATATCTAGTTATAACTGTCTATCTCTAAGATTTTAAGGGGAAATGATATTTTAATAGCCCCAAGAGGCCAATCTTTAACCAAGAAGTGTGGCATCAGAAAAGCAATTGGTGCTTGTTGAGGATTTAAATAGTTTTACCAGTATATTTCATGGGGAAAATAACCAGATGTCTGTGAAAATTTGTTAAAGCTAGTAAAACCTGTATGAATGGACACCTATAAAAATAATATTAACAGAAGTTACTTATTCATGATATAGAAGTAATATTAGAGAAACAGCCTCGTTTTCAACATAACTTGTATAGGTAATTTTGAAAATTATTTGTTTAAGTAATGCCCCTAACTAAACAATGGTAATATGTTTTTTTTTAAATAGCAAACTAAGTTCTTTTATAGAATTATAGAAAGTTATGGCTACTTTAAAAAAAAAGTTGTAATTCATTAGTGGAAGCCTGGTTTGAGGGGGTAATACCACCATTGTTTTCCCTCTAGTACGTCTCTCTTTACTTGGTTTTTTTTTTTTTTTTTAATTGTGCAGATTTAACTTTGTTTTAAATAAAGAAATACTTGGCATGAGTAAAATTATTTTCCCCCTATAAGTCTTTGTTTAATTGTCATGATTGTTATATTTCAAAAAAAATGTGCAGAATTTATCTATGTTTTAAATAAACAAATACTTGACATAAATAAATGTCCTGTACTACAGTGAAAATATAGCATAACTTTTCAGTGCATATAAGAAAGTAAACATCACCAGAAGTTAACCAGTTAAATTCTCTCCCCCTTTTTTCCCTGTAGAATATAGTATATTTTTATTGCTTTGAAACACCCAAGAAACATGTTTACGACTCAAAAAAACTTTTCTGCAATGAAATGGAGGGTTAATTTCCAACAACTGTCAAATAAAATGGAATATAAAAAAAGATCAACCCTTTTTTGCATGAAACTGAATGTACTATGTTTTGGTAGTATGGTTATAAATCAATAACCATAGTTTGTGTCTTTGATGACTTTTATATTTCATTTTATATAGTATAAATTTAAAATATATTTATATTTCAAATATAAAATTTGAGTGTTCTTTTGTATCATGTGTATTGAAAAAGAATGATAATTATTAAGAAAATGTTTTAAAATCATTTTCTTTCTGTGAAGACTTGATACCAAGCATTGTACAGTAATATTGAAGAATTTCTCATCTATTTTATAGTTTTGTAAAATTAATGCAAGATTTGTTTGAATAGACCAGATGTTTACACAGGTGTTAATGGAGCTTCCTCTATAATGTTCTACTTTCCTTATTATAAAAGTGCTATAGATTTGATTGACATCTTAATGGATCATGATAATTATTGTCACATAAACTGCTGAGAAAAGCCTACTTAAAAAGCTCCGAGCATCCTCCGAGCATGCTCGCAGCTTCCTCGTTAGAATAAATCTATGATCCCTAAAGTTATTCCCCTTTTTAACTTTGATAATTGCAAAGCTTGAGCAGGGGGATTCGTCTTCAGACTCATTCTTCTTTTATTTATGTTATTGAATTGCTACATGTATATCATTGACTTACATGTATATCCAATATCTAATTTTTGTATGTATATAAGAATAAAATAAGAATTTACATGTGTGCAGTCTCAAATAAAAGCTGCAACAGTTAACTAATGTAGTTACTTTTAAGTTTTTTTTTCAAAATTATTATTATTTTTTTTCTTCAATTTTTTTTAGGTCCACCTAGATTTCAGCAACCATTAGATTCCAGACCTTTGTATGGAGGACCGCCACCTCATGTTAATTCAGGAAACTTTGGTGGACCTCGCCCACCATCACATGAGCATCCTCCTTACCATCGTGGACCACCAGGACAAAGCTTTCCACATGATCTACCTCCAAGACATGACGAATTTCATGGGAATCATTTTGATCGCCATAGACATGACAGTCCTGGCCCTAGACATTTTGATCAACATATACCTATGGAGCCTCCAAGGCCAAATCCATTTTTACAAGAGCAACGGTTCCAGCCTCAACCAAGAATGCATCATCAACCTCCTACAAGAATGCATCAACCAAATCAGCCACGAATGCATCAACCAGTACAGCCACGAATGCTTCATCAACCTAGAAATAATATTAGACCACAAAGACAATCTTTAATGAGTGGACATAGACCTTTGAATGGACAACAAACTCCTAATAACAGGTACATGTATACATGTATATGATATGAATCTTTTATTATTGATGGATATCGTACTAAATGATAAAAAGAACAAATGTTGTTATTTCAAGTCACTTAAATGACCTTATTTCACCTGTGAATCAAATATATTATTGACAACTCTGGTCTATTTTTGACCTACCAAAACCTGAACAGTTTTGTCTGTAGCAACATCCAATGTAAAATGTTGAACTTTCTTTTCTTTTGTTCATTGTTGAAGGCCGTACAGTGACTTGTAATTGTTTACATCCCTGGTACCGTTAAAAGGCTTGTATAGTCCGCGGTTTTATTCTCCAAAATTGAACCTGCCAGAAGGGGTGCGGACTATAGAGTACAATAAGCAAGAAATAAGAGAAAAAAAATCGTGAGGTGGTTTGTTTACGTTCCGCCATGTTTGTTATTGATATTGTAGAGGGCGCTCTTATCATTTTTCAAACTAATAATTTTACCTAATCCATATTAATAAGTTATTTTTATTCAATATCAAATTAAAACTGATAAATTTAAAAGTAAAACACTTCATTACAAATTTCTTGTTTCTTTTCAATGCATTGATTAAAATAAACTGGTATCTGCTTGAATGAAACGATACAAAAAAAGTAAAAAAGACAACCGTAAACCAGCTTACGATGTGTAAATTACAAAACGTAATTGGTTATTATTCGTTCCGTTTCCGTGTTTCATACTGACAAATATGTTTTATATTAGCTTAAAACCCTTCAAACATTAATGTAATAGATATATTAAACACTGTTTTACATAAAGATGGAATTGTTTTACTTTCAAAGTCGTACTATAGTGATATCTATGATGTACAGATTTAGACTCTCACCGTTTTTTTTCTTTTACACATGCTATTCAAACTTCCGGTTTAAACATACACAAGTTTCTAAATTGTTTTTTGTGTGATTTAGACTTATTTTAATAATCGTGAAGTGTTCTAGAATCATTTACAAGCAGTTTTAGCTTCTGTTTGTTGATGGAAAACAGGTTTTTCCAAGAAAATACCGCAAACGACCATGCACGATTTGAAATTACCGGAGTTTCATTAGACCTTTTCTAACAGTTACAAAAAATTTTTTTACCTGAAATTTCGTGAGGAGAAGGGGGTGCGGACTATGTACCAGTGCGAACTATACAAGCCCGATTACGGTAAAAAGTTATCTCATACCACGACTACTTTTTTATGTAGGGTTTTGAAAGGTTGGAAACAGATAGACCTCTCTGTTTATGATTGGAAATGATCAAATAAATTGAGGTAGAACTATAAAGAAGGTCAGATAACCAGAACTACACACTTTTTAGCTCACCTGACCCGAAGGGTCAAGTGAGCTTTTCTCATCACTTGTATCCGTCGTCCGTCGGCGTCGGTTTCGTCCGACGTCGTTAGCTTTTTACAAAAATCTTCTCCTCTGAAACCACTGGGCCAAATTTAACCAAACTTGGCCACAATCATCATTAGGGTATCTAGTTTAAAAAATGTGTCTGGTGACCCCGCCAACCAACCAAGATGGCCGCCATGGCTAAAAATAGAACAATGGGGTAAAATGTAGATTTTGGCTTATATCTCTGAAACCAAAGCATTTAGAGTAAATCTGACATAGTTTAAAACTGATTATCAGGTCAAGATCTATCTGCCCTGAAATTTTCAGACAAATCTGACAACCTGTTGTTGGGTTGCTGCCCTGAATTGGTAATTTTAAGAAAATTTTGCAGTTTTTGGTTATTATCTTGAATATTATTATAGATAGAGATAAACTGTAAACAGCAATAATGTTCAGCAAAGTAAGATCTACAAATAAGTTGTCATGACCAAAATTGTCAGTCGACCCCTTTAGGAGTTATTGCCCTTAATAGTCAATTTTTAACAATTTTTTGTAAATTTTTGTAATCTTTTACAAAAATCTTCTTCTCTGAAACTACTGAGACAAATTTAACCATTCTTGGCCATAATCATTATTAGGGTATCTAGTTTAAAAAATTTGTCCGATGACCCCGCCTTCCAACCATCATGGCCAACTTAGTTAAAAATAGAACATAGGGGTAAAGTGCAGTTTTTGGTTTATATCTCTGAAACTAAAGCATTTAGAGCAAATCTGACAGGTGGCAAAAATGTTCATCAGATTTAGATTTATCTGCCCTGAAATTTTCAGACAAATCCAACGACCCGTTGTTGGGTTGCTGCCCCTGAGTTAGTAATTTTACAAAAATTTTGCAGTTTTTTGTTATTATCTTAGATATCATTATAATATCTAATATCTAATACTATTAATTATGATTTTAACCTTATTTTTCATGATTTCCAAAGCATCAGTAAATACAGGTGAGCGACACAGGCTCTTGAGAGCCTCTAGTTATTATGTCCCTGTCGTCACAGGAGGGGGCATTAAATGATTAAGTGTTACCCTTGTCTGTCTGTCCGTCTGTAGTACTCTGTACGTACGTCCCAAAATTGGTTTCCGTTCTGCAACTTTAGTTTGCTTCAACCAAATGTTATGAAACTTACACAATACTTAATACCACAAAACACAGATCAATTTCGAATTTGGGTGGCATCAGCTTTACCTTGCTCAAGTTATGCCCCTTTATAATGTTACATGTATATGCAAGCGAGGGCATCATCTGTGTCCCATGGACATATTCTCCATTTGTTTTTATCTCAGAAACTATAATGGGGTTTTAGTGATATGTTACTGCTATGTTTCTATTTATACATATGTTTTAGATTACCATGAGTATCACATCATACATTACCAGTTTTTGTTATGTATTTATTTTAAACATTTAAGTACATCATCCTTTTTTTACCACTACATTCTTTGCAGTTGATAAATATTCTTATTTAATGTTTGCCTGGCTTATTTAAATTTTTTTAATTAAGGTCTTTATCTCCTTATACACTTGAATAAAAAATCAAATTGTTCTAATTTTTATATTTAAGATTTCAAGGACCTAGACCATCATTGCAACAACAGGCCGGTAATAAAGTTTTGCAGAAAGCAAAGGAAGCTAGAATGAAGAAATTTGGAGCTATTCAGAATATACCAGTCATTGGTCGCCAAACAACAAAAAGACCTTCATCAGAGGAAGAGAGCTCATCACCACCGAAGCAGCTTAAATCTGGACCAGCAATGAAAGTAGGTTCTTTATAAAACAAACTGTTTACTCACATGTACTGACTGGTCAGCTCTTTGCAAGTGTTTTTTCTTCCATCATCTCTAATTCTTTGTTCACATGTTCAGATGACCGCAATTTCACAGTCCACTGAACATAGAAAATGATAGTGCGAGTGGGGCATTCGTGTACTGTGGACACATTCATGTTTAGAACTGTTTTACTGTTTGAATCATTCCTATGTTAATTTACCCTTTTCATTATATATACCTAAGTAGAAAATGAGTTTGGCCAGCATGTTTCTAATACAGAAGTGAACATTCCATTCCTCATGAATTTTTAAATATTTCTGATCTGTTTCACACAAATGCTTTAATGATTTTGTTTGCAAGGGTTACCAAAACACACAACTCATACTACATTTACTTCTGAAATTACAATTGTGATTTTTAACCGGATTTTCAAATGAAAATATCGGTTATTAATTTAGTGATGTACACCAGGCAGGCGGCTGCCAAGCAATGTCTGTGCAATAACTTGAAAACGCTTTGAAGAAATTTTGACATGTTGTTTCCTGTGACTAAATGAAGGTCAAGTTCAATTTTCACAATTTTAACTTTAATCCTTGTGAAGTTGTAAGACCTTTAAGTACTGAAAAGTGATACTTAGATTGATTTTGGCTTTTCCGTTTCTGAACCCTACAATAATTCATTATTTGTTTACTTGATCCTGTTTGGGGGTCCAGATTAACAAATATCATTTTCATGCAGGAAAATCCAGTTTGCTGTCAATCTGACAGCCTCTTGTATTCAAATTTGAAATAATATTCTATTAAAGTTCTTGATAAATAGGCCAGAAATGGGTATAATGGACAGCTGATGCCTGAACAAAGTGATATGTACCCTTTCTCTCTGTGTATTTTACTGATAAATGGAAAGTTTATTTTGGCAGTTGACATTAAGATACAGTCTATGGTTCAAGTTTTTCAGACATCAATAACTTTGTCAAACCTTCATAGAATTTTATGAAACTGTAGCAAGAGCTTTTTTATGATTAAGAGATAATGTCTGAAACAAAATCCATATTGTTTTACTGATAAGTGCACTTAGCTTATTTTGAAGCTCAGATTTAGTTACAGTCTGGAATTACATTTTTAGACATCAATAACCTTCATGGAATGTTATGAAACTTGGATATAAGCTTTTTCAAGATCCAGAAATAGCATCTGAAGAAAAAATTTAAATTTTCTTATTTTTGTTGTATTTTACTGATAAATGGACTTAGTTTTTGACAATCAAGATTACCTTTTTACACTGACAGCAACAATCATAGGAGAGACACAGGGAAAAATAGCTCAAAGAGTCAAAATAAGTGCCAGAGCTGTTAATCCATTAAACAAGATTTGTTTTTACATTTTTCACCTTACCATTCAGTCTCTATACCTTTCATAACAGTTCAGTTATTTATTTTTTTTCATTTTCAGTTAAGAATTCCACTTGTAATCTGTATCATGAAATACTCTTCATTATCTTTTCAAGCAAATATTGTTTTCTATTGCTTACGTGCCTCAATTTAGATTTTTTTTTAAATCCTGAAATGTGCATGCCATTTTAATTTATAAGGCTTCATAATTGCTTACATCCATTTCATTTGAACTTAAGTGGATAGTTGTCTCATTGGCAATCATACAACATCTCCTTATTTTTATATTGGTGAACTAATTATTTAAACTTTTTTATTCCATTTACTGTCTATCTGAGTTTTATGCGTTGATTTTAAATTTTGTTGAGAAAAATATCTTGGTTTTTCAGCAGTTTTATTTTATTCAGGAAGCATTTAAAAAAGACTGTATACTTCTATGGAATATTTTTAGGATTTCAATCTCAATTATTTTACTAGGTTGAAGACGATTATTTGAAAAAGATAGAAGCTCAGAAGGAAATAAGGGCAAACATTCAAAGACAAAAAGAACAGAAAAGGCAGCAAGCAGCAACCAAGAGAAGGAAAGAGCTTGAAGAAAAACTAGCCAAACAAGGTAACTTTGACCTTACTTCTTTTTTTAAGGCTCCCCTTACCATCTAACAACCATTATTATACCTCTGAACAGAATATATAGGAATCACACTTGTCAGTCCACCTGTCTTTAGGAAATCTTGAAAATGCACTTACTCTCAAACTGTTCACTGGATTTTAGTGGAACTTTACTCAAACTTCAAATTTAAAAAAAAAGTTGGTTATGTTTTATATACTTGAATGGCTACGTTTTACTATAAACAAGTGTATGTGAACTTTCTTGTACAAGAAAATCAAAATCTTCATAAATGTACAGCTATTGAGTTATTGTCTTCCCGTACACTAATTCACCGATCTTTTCCTGTATTCAATGACCTTTACTACGAGACCTTTCGTTAGAACTTCGGCCACCCAACAGCGCAAGTGCGAGGGGAAAAATGTGATGAAAAAATGTAAACAAACGTGCACTGGAAGGTAAATAGTAATAGATGATTCTTAAACAACAAATTGGACACAACAATTCATTTAAAAACTGTTAAGGACAAGTTTAATTAACAAATGGGAACGCATGGAAATTATAGAATACAAGTATCATGACTTTCAATCATGTGCTCCACGTAATCTGCATACATGACTTAATTTAGAATATATGCATGCATTTGTTAAATAATTTCGATAACATTAAAATTATAAGAAACTAGTTTCATATGACTTTGAAAGATAAGATATAGATGTGCATGAAGTAGGGTATGTAATCTCTAGATAGGCCTAAAAATTGTTGTAATTCCATTCAGAGGAGGTGATCTTATTTCAGAACTCAGTCAAGAGTATGGCCTGATCTGTGATTGCATTAATTTTGTTATAATATCTATTCCAGGGAAAGATATATCAGAGTTAGAAAGTGCTGATTCTGAGTCCTCCGACAGTACACAACATTCAACATCACAGATCAGTAGTGGCAATGTTAATAGAGGTCAAACTGTTAGACAGCCTGGTCAACCATTGAATAGGGGACAAGGTCAAAGAGGCCATCCTGCAAACAGAGGTCAGGTTCAGTCAGCACAACCAGCCAACCAAGGTCAATTTGCAAGAGGTCATCCTGTAGGACGAGGTCAGAGAGGACATCAGCAAAGAGGTTTTCCTCCAAACAGAGGTCAAGGCCAGCAGCACCAAACTATTGAAGGTGAAAGTTTTCAGGGTAATGGGAGAGGAAGAGGTGTACAGAGAGGTAGAGGACAGTTAGTAAATAATACAGGAAGGGGTGGACAATTTTTAAGACCAGGTCAGACAATGGAAATACATGGCAGTGGACCAGTAACTGTTTTGAAATCATTCAAAGTTACAAATGTCAATGAAAAAGGAGACAAACCTGAAACAAGAGATAATATTGTTGACAGGCGCACTGCTGTGGAGGTTTTAGAAGATATAAGACGTCAAAGGCAGGTAAAAGAACAGGAGGAAAGTGGGTTAGGTAATAGGCAAGTGAAAGTGCCAACTGTGAAAAGAATGAAAAAAATTATAAGGACAAAGCGCAATGCACAAGGCCAGATTCTATCTCAGGAGACTGTTATGGTTCCTCTCACTGCAGAGGAAGAAGCTGCTGCTGAGGCAAACTTTGCATCACAAACATTACCAACTCCTGTCATGCTCTCACCACAGAAATCCCCACAGAGAGTTGTTGTGGCTAGTAATAGGGAGGTAGTACTTGGAGAACAAGGTGGTAGTAAAAGAACAGTTATAGCTTCAAGCCCACCTGCTGGAAACACTGTAAGTTAAACTTAATTTAGAAATAAAAGATACAGCTAGCTTATTTTAAAGATAAATATGGTAAAAATACTTGCTATGTTTTCATAAACTTATATAATAGCAAGATTTATCTATGTCTGTTGCATAAAAATGACTTACTTCCATTTGAATAATTTTTCTACTTAATTAATGTTGTTTATATTTTTTTCTGAATATTGTTTTAAAAGTTGATTGTTCTTTCACAGTCATGACAATGAATTATCTTTTTATGATAGCATGATATTTTATAAATTTTTGTCTTATTTGGCAAATTTTGAGTTTTATTCATTTATTACAGAGTTACCAAGGAGGAGATTCTAAAAGAACAGTTAGGATAGACAACTTATCTTTATCAACATCAGATAACACTATTAAATCTTTATGTGGCTGTGTAGCCCCTTTCCAGGTACATTGTTGTTCCATTGTTACATATCTGAACCAAACCATGTGTAAACTAGAAGCCAGTTTAAATTGAATCCTGTGTAATAGAGGCATCAGATACCAAAAGGACAATAAAAAATCATATATCAAAGAAAAATCAACAAAACCAATTCAAAAAACGACATATCCCGCTGCAAATGTTTGCACCTGTCCTAAGTCAGGAATCTGATTACAGTAGTTGTCTTCTGTTTATGTAGTTCATACGTGTTTCTCGTTTTTTATATAGATTAGACTGTTGGTTTTTCCGTTTGAATGGTTTTACACTAGTAATTTTTTTGGGGCCCTTTATAGCTTGCTGTTCGGTGTGAGCCAATGTTCCGTGTTGAAGGCCGTACCTTGACCTATAATGGTTTACTTTTATAAATTGTGATTTGGATGGAGAGTTGTCTCATTGGCACTCATACCACATCTTCCTATATCTATATAGAAAACAAAAGACTTAACAACATGAACACACCCAAACAGGGGATGATCTCTGGTGCTCTGGAAGGGTTAGCAGTTTCTGCTTCTTATGTGGCATCCGTTGTGTTGTTCGTAAGAAACATGTCTTAACTAAATCTTGCGTAAATTAGAAACTTGTCGAAACTAAATCTTGTGTAAATTAGAAACTTGTCGAAACTGAATCATGTGGTTATTAGAAACCCTTCTTAACTGAATCTTGTGTAAATAAGATTTGTGATTGCAAGTTCAAAGGTCAAAGCAGCAATTGGTAGGCAGAACTTTTGCTTTGTTTTCTAGATGATATCATTTGAACCATACATTCAACCTTTACAAACTTTGCTTTAAAATGCCCAGTTAAAAGGGCAAGCAAGATCTCTTAGATTTTTGGGTAAGTAGGTTAAAGCTCAAAATCACAGTACCTACTAAAATCCATCATAAGTCATAAATCATCAGCAATCTTACAACAAAACAAAGCAAAAAAACGGTTGCCCTAAAAAAAAAGCACTTTTCATATACATGGCAACTTGGCTTATGTTAGTTTTATTCAAGATAATTCTGTCAATTTCAGGGTTATCAGAGGGCTGGAAAATCTGCATTTATTGTATTCATGGATGCCAAGAAGGCCTTAGAATTCAAAATTAAATATAACAGGTAGTATATGTTAAAAAACATCATTAAATGTTTTGATAGAAAAGTGATCTTTGGAAATGACACAATGTTTTGTGAAGACAAACTTTATAATACTGTAGATACCTTATTCATGCGAGACAAATTGTTGTTTCATACTTTTACTACATTGTACTAACAGACACTTGAGTTTATTGATTTGTTTAAACATTTTCATTGGCAATGCTTAAAGTAAAAACATGAATTCAATCCACATTTCAGCATTTAATGTAGGAACTTACTGCTAATAATTGTGTATACCATCTTTTTGTGTTTTTGCATGATTTACAGAATGAAGCAATATAACCTAGATAATCCACATATTATATTCCATATTTATCATGTTTATACAAATATGATGTTTCTGATCTAATGTAAAGAAGTTAAATGTAAGAAAGAAAATTTGACGGAAGGACCCTTTTTATACTCAGATTTACATTGAAAAATTACTTTTCGAAGAGACAGGTGTGCTGCTTTTGGAACCAACATCTAGGTTAACAATTGATAAAAGTTTGTGATAAGGTCACTTGAAGGAAGACTACTCATATGGGAGGCAGTTTCCATGCCCCTTAAATCATGGTTCATTGACTTTCAAATTTTATCAATGATTACGGGTACATTAAAGATTGTGATAAGGTCCATTTAAATGGAACCACTAGTAGTAAGTTAATTATGATATTTGGTCAACAGTTATATCAGCATTGACACATCTCATTTACGTAGAGATTATTTGACATCACCGCCTTGGTGGTCTCATGGTAGCCTGTTTGCCTTGAGTGTGGGAGGTCTTGGGTTCGAACCCTGCCCTGGTCAAACCAAAGACTTTAAAATTGGTATTTTCTGCTTCTCTGCTAAGCATGCGCCATTAAGGAGTAAGAGCAAAGACTGGTCGGCTCAGAGTCAGAATAATGTGTCCCGGTAAGGTGACATACCAAACCTTTAAACAGAATTTTCAGAAGGGATAAAGTTACGATACTGTTGTCAGGTCATTAAAGATGGCATTTTTTGGAATTAATATTGATTCACTCATAGGGTCTTTGCATCAGAAATAAACACATTTATTCTAAAACCAGTTATTGGTATGATGTTCTTCTTGTATATTTTATGATGGTGTGATACTAAACCCCTATCAGGAGGGATTGTGCTTGATTTTCATATGATGAAGACATAATCTTTCAATCAGTTTAATTGAGGTCTGGTGCTGGCATGTCAGTAACTGCTAGTAGTCCTTTGTTGATTATTGTCATTTTGCTTAGTTTCTTCTGTTACCTATTCTGACATCAGACTCTGACTTCTTTTGAACTGAATTTTACTGTGCGTATTGCTGTGTTAGTTTATTCCACATTGGCTAGAGGTATAGGGGAGGGTTGAGATCTGACAAAACATGTTAAAGCCCGCCGCATTTTGCGCCTGTCCGAAGTCAGGAACCTCTGGCCTTTGTTAGTCTTGTATGTTTTTTAAATTTTGGTTAATTTATATTTTTAAGAGCTTAGTGTGACATCCATTTTTGCTGAACTAGTATACATTATTGTTTAGGGGCTAGCTGAAGCCCGACTCTGGGTGCAGGATTTTCTTGCGGTGTTGAAGACCCATTGGTGGCCTTGGGCTGTTTTCTGATCTTTGATCGGGTTGTTGTCTCTTTGACGCATTTCCCGTTCCAATTCTCAGTTTTATGTCTTCCTGCAGACTGTTACCTTGTGAACTAGCATATTTAAAATCCCGCTCAACGTGCACGTGTCAGTCTAGTACAAATTTGGTTAATATTCATATTACATTAACATGATTAACATGTTCTCGTCCTGAATTTGCATATTAATATGCCGCCAGTTGTTAAGCAGCCATCCATCATCATCATCTTTAGTAAAGGTCCATTAGCTTTGAAACTTTTAGATATTGAACATGTTGAAGTGTTATTATTTAAATTTCAATATTTGCGTAATACTATCAAAACTTCACATAGAAGAGATATTTTTTTTTGCCAACATTTTCTTTTTCTTTGCAATAAAATTTCACTCTTTTTTTTCTTCTTTTTTTTTCATGCTTCTTAACATATTAAAATCAGAAAGTCTGACAGAAGACACTTCTCAGATTCATATCCTGAATACAGCTTTTTTTCCTCTTGGTTGTATTTAATTCAGTGTTTTAATTGACACAATGTTAAGATACTCCTTGACCTACAGAAAAAAAAACTATGTAAAACTATTATAAACTTGCAATCAGATATTTTTCTTTGAACCAAACAATAGTTAATGTAAATTAACAAGTCTCACATACTGTAAATTCAGAAATTATTGCGAGGTTTTTACTTATGCGAATAATGCGACTGCAAGAGTATCGCAATAATAAGAACCCGCATTTTGATATCTGGAACATACATCTGTATGGAGATTTTCCTGAAATCGCAATAATTAATCTCGCATTTTTGTCCATTCTTGAAAAATCGCAATAATAAATGCACGCAATAATTTCTGGATTTACAGTATTCAGTTTGCAGGAATTTGAAACAGTTATGTTTATTCTTTCATGAGATGTCAGGTTATGTCAATTCTTTCATGAGATGTCAGGTTGTGTTAATTCTTTCATGAGATGCCAGGTTATGTCAATTCTTTCATGAGATGTCAGGTTATGTTAATTCTTTCATGAGATGTCAGGTTATGTTAATTCTTTCATGAGATGTCAGGTTATGTCAATTCTTTCATGAGATGTCAGGTATGCATTACTGAGACAGCATAAAATAAATGTCAATTACCAAAAATATGCTGTATCCTGTCCCGCTACAAAATGATTGATTGATTGGTTGGTGTTTAAAGCCACTTTCAGCACCATTGTACTATTTCATGGTGGTCTGTTTTTATTGGTGGAGGAAGATTGAGTGCCCAGAGATAACCACGACCTTCAGTAGGGAAACTGACAATCCTACTTAATTAAGGTTGGAGTCTATAGCACATGCCACTTGCGGGATTCGAACTCACAACCTCCGTGTTGACAGGCTAGTGATACAGTAGTTAGACTACTAAGACCACTAGGCCTAGAGGCCCACAGCTACAAAATGTATATAAATCTTATATGTAAAAATTTAATCATCTTTTTTTTTTACTTTTCAGACACATGCTGGACTTATCACACATATCAGTGGAATTAATACCAGACTTGAGACCTCTGATATGACATTACAACTTGGAAGTCAAGAGTATAATAAACTTTATAGAAATTACAAACGAAAGAAAAATAATCATATTTCATATGATATTTTTCTTTGATTTTTTTTTCACATGATTCATACAGGTAAGAAATTGTGTTGTTTAAAGAAGAAGAATCCACAAGTTAGAATTATCAAGATGTCAGCAGTAAACAGGAAGTTTTCTGCAGTGAATAAAGATAGAGATGAATAGCAGTAAACAGGAAGTTTTGTCTGCAGTGAATATACAGATACAGATGAATACATGTATTATAAAAGGAAACTTCATAGTAAATGTACAGATAAATTTGAAAGGTTTAGGCAGTCAGTTTGCATATCAAAATGGTTGCAGACAACCAAGATGTAATTTGAATGATTGTACTGATACTGATATTAAGTAACATCAGCTGAAACAAAATCTTCAGCAATAAATGCAGATATTCAAACGATTGTTTATATGTGTTCACTGTAACCTCTGTAACAGGTACATAGAACTTGAAGATGTAAATGTATAATTTTATTAATTATTTATCTGGCAATTACGGTAAGGAATATATTTTTGTCATTCCTAACCTACTATGTAGAAATAACATAAAAGTTTTATGTTGTTTTATGAGGTGCATTTGTTTGTTATCCAGAGCATTGGATATCTGATATTTTGTTAGCTTTCAGACAAAGCTATTTATTTGTTTTTGCATCAGCATCTGTCATATATTTCATATACTTTTATGTAATATATAAGCAAAAAAATCAGATGCATTTTTTTAATAAATATCCATGATACAAGTATAAGAATGTTAAATATAACGACATATCTCACTGAATCATAGTAAGGACTTTCCCTCTGAAACCTAACTATTGGTCACTTTCAAAAACATTTACCAAGCACAGTGAAAGATGAATTTATAACATTTAATAATCAACATAGAGTTTGGGCGTATGATGAAGTATGGAATTATGAAATACAGATGGTGATTGACCAATGAAATTACAACCATGATGATCAGATTGAATAACATTGAAAGTGCCTAGTACATTTTACATGAAACAGTAATTATGAAGAACGCATATTTGTGCAAAACATTAAATATTGATTTAATTGGATAAGAAGAAAATTTTGGATTGTATAACCGTACTTCGTCAACTATAAACAACTCAAAGATATTTATGAATGCATTAAATGAGCTGGTTATGACAACAGTTGATATAATTGGACAACATAGTTAATGCTTACATTCTTGGAAATATTTAGAAGATGTAATTTTACTATCCTATTTTTCATGTTAAATCAGCATATTTGATTAGATGAAACCAACGACAAACCATTCTTTGAATGATGATTTTTTTTGTATGAAAGTGATCAAAGTATTAAGATGTTGACATTTCTCTGCTTTCGATAATGAAACATTTTGCAAGATGAATTTTTAGTATGTGGGTTATGTAATATATGGTGCTTGGTCATCACGTTTGCAGAGGAAGAAACAAAAAACCATTTACTGATTGGAGAACTAGAACTAGGGAAACATATTAATTAGTTTTGTTTGGAGATGTGGATGAAAACTATTGTGTGGATGCCATATCACAAAAGGATTAACAAATTTGGACGTGGATGAAAACTATTACTGTGTGCCTACTGAGATAACAAAACAGATGATGACCAGATGTGATTAAAAAAAAAGACACCGAAAGTGACCATTGACCCTGTTAAATTCCTTCCCTCAGAAAACTAATTTGATAATTTCTTTGTCAGGTCATCACAAGTAATTGGTTGGATTGCAAGCAAGTAAAGATCATTATTTATCTAATACTTACTTGCCATAGCTAGGAGTCCCGAGTACAATGCACACACATGTAGGTTAAAAAACTGAAAAAGAATGAATGCTGCCTTCTGCTCATATATTGAAGTTCCTTATAAATGTTGAAAAAAAATTCATTTGATATTTTACACAAACTGATGAAGGATTTTATGTTGTATCTGACTAGTCCTCTTGAATGCACTAATTTAATTTCATGATCCCAAAAGACTATTTTTTGTATATGTAGTGGTCATTTTCATTGAAGTCTAGATTGTTTGTTTTTTAGAGGACTAAATTATTAAATGATTGTTTTTTAGCTGCAGTGTAGAGAAAAATTTAAACAGCTGGGTTGGTTTGTCATTTCCACTCACCCACTATGGGCTAGCCATTCTTGTCCACTCAAATCAAACCTTTGGTTTTGTATAATATTGAATACAAAGGACTAAACATGACTGAATGATTAGTTGTTCAGACTTTTGAGATGATGTTGAGATCAAAAAGACAGTTTAAGACTAATATTCATTTAATAGTGTAATATTGTCAGAATCATAGATAGAATCTTTGTTTTCACCAATTAAACTGAGAATACTGCCACTTATTCCTAGTCAAGTTTGAAAATATTAAAACCAAACATAATTTTTTCAACAAAGAATAATTTCCTTTTTTTATTGCTCTTAAAAAAAAAATCCCTTAAAACTTTGAAGAACAAAGTCTAGTATATATTCATGGTGATTTCATTATCAATATAGAGATGTTGCAAAAAACTCTTATCATTATTCAATTAAAATTGATCATATTTCCTCTCCTATACCACTGTATCAGACCTTATTCCTCGTATGAAATCCCCTGCAACTTGTAACTCACCAATATGAATGATGCTAATACAAAACGGAAAAGACTTTAGGAACTTTGATGAATTTATGATATTTATGAATTAACTTTTTACAAAACTTTGAAATATTCCAAAAACTAAGGATTTTCTACACCAGAAATATCTTCGTTCTTTATTTGGCCTTTTAACTTTTTGATTTGAGCGGCACTGATGAGTCTCTTGTAGACGAAATGTATGTCTGGCGTTTTAAAATTATAATCCTGGTATCTCTTTGATGACTTTTTTTTTTTTTGACTGATATATAAAATAAATTATTTTCTATTTAGACAAACTCAGATTTTCAATAAAACAATTACCAACACATTCTAGATATTGTGTCATGTAAAATGAATTTAATGCAAAAAAGTTCCATTTATTTTATAGTTTTTGCAGGTTGAAATGAAAGTTCCTTTTAAATCAATACTTATTCAATATGGCCATTTATCCAAGGTGACTGTCACCGAAAATATCCCGTTTTTTTTTTTTACAAGCCCAATATAATTCAACAGCCTGGTGGACCTGTGGCCAAGTGTGTAGACTGCCCATTGCATGGAAAAACAGCATTAGTCCTATCCTACTTATTACAGTCAGAATCATTGATGTTTTAAGATTTCACTTTTTTAATCTGTTTACAAGAGATCATAACAGCAGACATCAAAACTTACCTGTATTTGCCCTTGATGAATATTTTATTACTGTTAAAGTTAACTATAAAAATTTTGACTCAGGCGAAGCCAAGGTTGACAATGTCTTTTCGAGAGGTAACAATCTGCTCTATCACCCTCTCAGATATGTGTTATTTAATTTATTATACTGAATGTTCTGTTATTACTGTTGATTAAATTTCAAATTCAAAGTAATAAACTATGACGTCTTTTACATAACAACCATCTGTATTTGATAAAGCGCACACTTGATCAAACGTCTCCGTGAAGGGTAATAGAGTATTTGCCATAGGATAGAGTCGTATTTAATAAAGCGCACACTAGATCAAGCGTCTCTGTGAAGGGTAATAGAATATTTACCATAGAATAGAGTAAATTAACACCCTCATATAAGCCAATCAAAATATTACATTTTTACGTGAAGTATAATAAATTGAATTATAATATTGATTTAGAAATGCTTGGACAAAAAGTGTCAGAATATTTTTTTTAAGTGTGTTGTCTTTTCTAAATACTGATGTGTTTATTCCATCAGGACTATACAGAAAAACAGATGTACGAGAGTGTCTTACACTTTTTCAACACACTGGATGTCTTTAATAATCAATTTTAGACATAATTTATAATTTGGGCCAAGACAGATGCCCCATAACATTCATACTTTATTCCTTCCTTACAATGTATGAATTCATTATATAAAGTATCAATTACCACCACACACCACCCTCACTCCATCCAATCCCAGCCCATCCCAGCCCAGCTGATTTTATCTTGAATAGTCGTGATAGGAAAATTAGGTAAAAATAAACATCAATTGTTACAATATTTTTGAAATTAAACAACCTAAAGTTTGATGTCAGAGAGAAAATCAAAATAATTGAAAAGATGAAAGCAAAAGAAAATATACAGTCACAAAGTTGTTCAGAAATTTACCGCCAAGAAAAAAAAAAATTGGAACTCAAAAAGTTACTACTGTATAATGTTTTTTGAAATCTTTTTAAACATTTGTAATAGATTCTTGTTTTGGTTTTATTTAACTCTAAGGACTCTGTAGACAGTAAAATGTGAATTTTCTAATATGGCTGGCTGTGTGATAAAACGCACATTTTTGTTTTCATGTTCATAGCAAGGCATGGGCAAACAATCAGTAGAAGGCAGTCATTTTGATTAATCAATACTTTTTTGATAAAACAAAGGTATGATAAGAAAAAGAACTTTTTGCACATGTATTTTAGTTTTTTCCCTGTTGATCTAATAATATCATTTTGAAATAACCAAGCAACTGCTGTCATTTTCATTCTAAGTGTAACTGGTTCCTTGATAAAAAATTATTTTTCACACAACTACAAAAAAAGCAGTTTACAGTTTTAACAAGAAGAGAAAAGTATTTATTTTTATATTTTACCATGTGATCTATAAAAACTACACTTTTTTTTTATATAACAACATTTTACACCACACCTATTTAAAAATGCAAACATTTACAAGATTATTTCCCAAACAAAGCTTAAAAGAATGACTTAGTTTGCATCCAACCACCCTACAAAATTGAGACTTGTGAAGAAATCCCCTCCAGATTCTTTATTCTTCATCTTTGTGAAGTTAAATTCAAAATAACTTTGAAATTTTACTTGATAAGCTTTTTAAGTTTCTTTTTTTTCATGTCCCCAATTTACTTTCATATGCAAATTTATACAATTCGGAACATACTGAACAGTTACTTTACAATCATGTATTAATTATCATTGCTTTATATTGGTAAATAAATTTATATTGGGTTTTGTACATGTGTGTTTTTATTACATTACTAAAACTGTCTTAATTACATGCATTTATTACTTTACATTTTGAATTGATATAGATAGTTATTTCTAAAGCTTTTGTTAATGAACTATTACATGTTGCAACATTTGTCATTATATAGTCATACAAAATAGGTTGAATGATTTATATAGACATGATAGAAGTTAAACAAGATCATTCAAGTTTTATTTTTCGAATTTAGATAAATAGTTTTAAGTGTGAATTAAGATACAGTAGTCCCTGCAGTGTTCCTCCTAAGAGAGGCCTTTTCATCATGCAGGAGCAGTCTTATATATTCTGCATAGTAGTTATATCTGTGGCAATGAGACTCAAGCACAACCTCTCACAAAAAGTTCCCCATTTTATAATGCCGGATATACTAAATTATAACAATTTTTGTTATTATATTGTCACAGAAATATGAGATCATTATGTGAGTTTGAATTGTCACTGTAACATGAAGAAGTTATTGTGCTTATTGATTGTAACTGCAATTTTCAAGAGACACAACTCCACTTAAGTAGTGTTATTGTACATAATTTTTTTATAGATTCAGCCTAACTTTACCATAGGCGATCACTGTTTTATGACCACATTAACTGGTGATGGGAAGGCCTTTTTTAAGAGGGACTACAGTGTTTAAAGTACACACAAGTTGCTATAACATAAAATGGAATGATTACTAATTTAGACTTGCAGACTTGCCTTGGATTTGAGTCCTGAGTATTTGGATATTTATTATAGAGTATGCTCAGCACAATGAAAATCATGATTTTTTTTTCAAATTTGAGGGAAAGAATAAGGTTATTTTCAGTAAGGTAACAATATATGCACATCATGACTTTTAAAGCACTGTTAGGCTTGATACAATGCTAAATATTCTAGTTGCTACTTCGGATCTTTTTCTTTATGTATTAAACTGCAAAGCAGGCTAGTGATTCATTATCTTCCTCTGGACTGAGTAGAATATCCAATCTAATCTGGTTTTGTATTGTCATCACGTGTGTAGGGTTGAATTCCATTCTCCTTCATAGACTTGTTAGCCAAGAAGGCCCAAAGTCTGCGGTTAATAGGTTCAGGTCTGGCTTTTGGTGACCTCTTATACCGGTACTTTATTGACTTTTTTTAATTCTCTCTGACTTTCATGGTTTCCATTTCTCAGCCAACTTGTAGACTTCATGAGAGGAAAGAGTCTGTTGTCTTGTCTTCAAGTTTGTGTAGGATGGAATAATATCCAGAGATAGTTGGGGCTGGTGCTGACAAAATTAATTTCTACCTCTAATTTTGAATAATGCAAAGGTATGAATTTTGATTTTAAACGATATATAGAAATTGTTTTAATTATAGAAAATTATTTTTTCTCTGTTCATCATCTGACATAAAGTCTACTGAAACCTTACTTGTGTCTTTTATTTCTGTTTATGAAACAAAGTTTCATTTTAAGGTAGATAGGGTGTCTTCCTCCATCTTGGATTTTGAAATACCAGAAAACAATCGGTCTAGATCTTTAATAAAATGTGCAAATTTTGAGAGTAGTCGGTAATTCATGTGTAAGAATTTTCATTTCAATATAGAAAATGACATGTTTTATCATATTTATGGTTGTATTTTACAAAAAACAGAATACTTTTGTTTGATTCAATTTTTTCCAATTTTGTCACTTAAGGGGAGGCAACTCAAATGTAAGGGCAGATAATTCAGATAAAGTTACTTTTACAATAGAATGTGTTAGGAATTTACCTATTTTATTATGTAGCAAGAAAACGGGTCCGGTGACCCCATTTTTTCTTTTTCTTATTTGAAAGCATAATATTAGAGCTATCTTCTCATATTTTATCTCAAAATTCTATGGTGTAGTTTTTGTTTTATGGCAGAAAATTGGGTTTTGCATGCATAATCTATACAAAAATCTGTCAATTTTGCACAACCTGTAGCGTGAAAATAAGCCCCGTGACCCATTCTTTTTATTATTTTTTTTAAAAAAGCATGAAATAAACTACATTTTGGCAAATTATTAAAAAATTCTATGGATTATAATTTAGACACCCCATCTACCTTAAGAAAAAAAAATATTTCTGATTTGCATTTTTCTTTGACATGGCACAACTTTCTGTGTTCATTTCCTACCACAAAACTCATTGGAAATGTATTGTACACAATTTTTACATAATTTTCATGAATATTCTTAGCATATATGCACTTATATTCTCATTTCGAATATTCAGTTATTTGATCAAATTTAATTTAGAGATTGGTGTTTTGAATTAGTATCACAAAGCTGATATATTTATCTAATTTGTTCAGTATTTTTATCTATGCATTTGATTTATTATTGAATTATTTATTTCTTGTTCTGAACTACTTGGATAACAACAATCACTCAGTTTAAACATTTTAGTTAGCCTTCATATACTTCTAGTTTCTATATAACAAAATATATTTTGTACTTCCATTGTATAAACAATGAATGTATATTTTATAGGTTTTCAGAAATTTTTACCACTGAATTCATTATTTTACTCATATTAAAATTACATAAATTTATTAACTTTTATAAATATATATCAGCTTTGTGATATAATGTTTAACTTGTGAGTGCTTATCGTCTATAATGTCAAGAAACTTGAAGATATGAAAATAATTGACTTTCTGCTATGGATTAAAAAATAGATATAAAATAGTGAGGAAACACTTGACCCCAAAATACTTTTGAAAAAAGTGTTTGCAATGGTGCTTTAATTGTACATGATGTGCATGTGAGATCTTCATGCAGGATTCAAAACTTTTTGTTCAGATTGATTGACCTAGGTCTTGAAATTATAAAATGTCTGAAAATGTTTTGTTTTCAACACATATATTAGTTTTATACAATGAAATTCTTGTCAACAGAAATGTAATATTCAACTAAATAGTCATGTACAGGGTGATTAAGAAAGAGGCCTATAATGTGAAACATTTAGGTCTTTCAACTAATAATGTTTTGAACTGTCACAGTTCATCAATTAATAAAAGATTCACAATACCACATACATGTATATCAGTTGCTGTTTCCTTATTCTGATGAAGTAGTGTTATTTCTCTCCCTTGATAAAGACCAGTATTCACTTTCTTTAATCTTTGTCTTTAGCATTAATTGACATTTACACTCAAGGCTCTGCAGGTAATTCTACTGGTGTTAGTGTAACTCTTACCTTGTCTGGTATCATGATCAAAAACCCTTCAATGTAGGTGAAGATGTAGAGCAGAACAAATATACCATTGTTCCTTAAAGTTGTCCAAGAAGACAAATGGAACAACACATTATGATCTGTACATGGGTTATTGGCTTAAGGGATAACTTATCAAAGATACAAGGCTTATAATTTTCCCGCCTGTCACCCGTCTCTTCTACAAAAGACTCATCAGTACATGAGTAGTAAGGAATTACTTCTTAAGTTAAATTGTGACTTTCTTAAAAAATAACAATAGGGGTGGACTATAATTCCAAATTCATCCTTCACATTATTAGCCCTAATTGTTAGTTCACAATACATCACAAGATTTTTGTCTTTTGTACACATCAACTCCGTATTCTTATACAGCTATGTTTATTGATAAAAAGCAATTAGTTTGCACATAAAAGCCTGTATTTTATTTATTGGCTTTTTCAGTTTTTACAAGAACATTATTATCTTTATCCATTATGATTCATGGTAATTCTGTCATCTTAGAACGAAATTTAAAGTTCTGAATTTCAGATTTTCCCCACAATGTAAACCATACACGTGTAACCCTGTTCAAGTACTAACAATCTGTATGGATCTTTTGAAACGCTCAGAATAGAATCCTTTACTTGCAAGCAAATTTGTTAACACATTAATGGTTCATGTTGTATCACTGTAGGTCATTAGTTTGTGATCAGGTTTAGGAAAAATGCAATGTTTCTTTGTTCATGGTTTCCTTCTGTCGTGTTAGTTATACTATGCCGTATGTCTCTTTCCAATGTCTTGTTATCATATACCTTCCAAAAAATGTGAGATTCAAGTTTTCACCGGTGTACAGTTTCTTTAGAAACTGAATTTGTAGATATATTTCATTGTCAGAAATTTTTTCTATCCAGTACTAAAATATTTGTCATGTTATAACTACATTTTTGAACAAAAGTTCGCTAAATATCTTTCTTATACAGTCACCATGCAAAATAATTTTTTTGTATTAACTGGATGAAACTATATTTTTATACCTACAGTGTATGTGGTATTGTGTTTCTATATTACTGTGAAGAAATTTACATGTACATTTTTGGTACAAGCATAAATGAGGTACTCATCCTGTTTTATTTAATAAAATAACAATAATTTCTTAATTTACAGTACAGTGGCAAGAATTCTGTTTATGTGTTATACATATGTACATGAACTATTGTAATGGATTTGCAGTTTTTAATCTACCCTCTACAGTCAGTGCTAAGGTGGTTACAGATGTGTTCAGCTCATGAATATCTTTTACAATATTTGTGAATTATGATTATCTCAGGTCAGTATATAGGTATATTTTTCTATCTACAAGGTGCTTATTTATTTGTTAGATCTCAATTATGATGTTTGTTGATTTTTGATATATATTTACATTGCAGAGCTCATATTTGTTGATAGTATTACATATTTGTTGAGTATAAATATAATCTTACATTTCAGATCTCATATAAGTTATTGGTACATGTTTCACTATGTTAATTTCTTTTATATTATTTTACGTAACATTTATTGTATATAAAGCAATTTTTTATATATTTTTTACAAGCGAGTAACAAAGAGGACAGTAAGATTTCTGATATTTCACCATTCTTTAGTATTTAATTTTTTCCTGGTCAAATCTTTATTGTCTTTTTTGGCAGAAAATAGCCATTAGTTTCTCTAGATATAACAATTGAAATAAATTCATAAACAATTGGTGATTGTAAGCGAAACCCTGAGATTGGATGTTACTTTTTTTCAATCTGA